CAAATAAATTTGTTTTCAAATAAATTACATATACAAATAAAGTTATGTCAAGTGAATTTTATTCCTTAAAGAAATTCATTTCAATTGAGTTTTAATGTAGAATGAAATTCATTTGACATAAAATAAAATCATAAAATATTTGTATCAAATGAATATTATGTCAAATGACATTCATGTCAAATGATATTTATGTCAAATGATATTTATGTCATTTGACATAAATGTCATCCTAAAATTTAAAGCATAATTTACTTTTTTTAAAAAATTTTTTTTAATATTTTTTTTTTAAATATTAACATTTTAATTTATTCAAATTGTTGTAAATTCTTTCTCAAGAAAAAGAGTGAGAAAGAAACAAAAAAAGTAGAACAGAATAGAAGAAAGAGCTTCCAAATAAAAATTAACTTTACGAGGGGGAAAAAATGTGGGTTTGAAAAAGGATATTTCAGGATTGAATAACAAAAATCTTTTTTTTCTTTTTCTTTTTTTTTTGAAAAGAGAGAAGGGAACGAGAATCGAATCATCTGCGAGTGATGAGATTGTGCGCTTTTCCAACGACCAATTTTCTCTCTCTTTGGTTGTGTACTTGAAGAATGATTTTGCTCAGACGCGCTTGCCAGAAGAAGTACTGACGGCAGTGGTAGCAGAAGCGAAGGAGACCGGATGTAGGTTGGTGCAGTGATTCCACTGATTCGTTTCAAGAGTGCCCGTGGCTTCCAGCGAACTTCCGAGTGCCGCGTTCGTTGTAGGCCTGTAACTACCGCGTGTGCTGCAAGCCATCCTTTTGTCACTTTCAAAAAAATAATTATCATTTTTTTTACACTCTTTATCCAGTTTTTTTTTGTTTCTTGTTTTGTCTAAAAAAAATTAAACTTTGTGCGAGAAAAAAAGTTTCGTTAATATAAAAAGAGATTTTTTTTTTCTTTTTTGAAATGTGAAACGAATTTTAACAGTTGCAACATTAAAAAAAGGATAATATTTTCGGGGTGAGCCAAAATTTACTAATTTCTTCTTTGATTCAAAAGAAACTAAATTCAAACTAAAGAACTAAATTTTGAACTTCAAGGAACTTTTAATTTTTATTTAATTTATGATTTTTATTTTTATTATTTTACGAAAACTTGTTGCCACAATTTTTTATTAACAAAGTGTTGATAGTTTCAAAAAATTTTCAAATGAAAGAACCGATTTAATTATTTATAAAAATTCTTAAAAACAAACTTCTTCTAACAAACTTTTAGAATTTTATTTTTGCAATCCATCAATTTTTTGATGAACATTCTTATAATTTTTATATAAACACGAAAGTGTTTATATCAAAATTATAAGAATGTTCTTGTATAACTTCAATTTTCAATTTTGAGCTTAGATCATTAAAATCATTTTTGGATTTTTTTTTTTTGAAAGTTTAAAAATTAAAAAAAAATGTTTAAATCCTAAAGTCAGTACAAGTTTTATTTTAATAAAAAAAGCTTCAAGTCGAACAGCAGAAATTTTCACGTTATTATTTAAATTTTTGGTTTCTTCAACTAAAACTTTCGCTGTTCCAAAGAAACTTATCGCTGGTCCAGATGAAACTATTTTCAAAAAGTTTAAAATTAAATGAAAAGAGTAAAAATTAACAAAAATTAATAAAAACTTAAATTAAAATTAAATTAAACCAAAAACTGTCTTTCATTGAATATTTACTGATAAATATTGACAGTGGAAATTATTTTCAAACTCACTTTTTCGATGATCGTTTATTTCGAAAAGAATGCAATGCTAAAAACCGTAAGGGTCATTTTCGTGTAACAAAAGACAGACTCTTTCAGAGTTAATTCCATTTCGAAAATCACGATAAAGGCATTTTTTACCAATCGAATAAATAAAAAAAACTTAAAAATTAAAAATAAATAAACTTAAAATAAATACTTGTTTCTAAAAATATTTTTAAATGGCTAAGTTATCAAATTTGTGTTATTTTTTTGGAAATCGATTCGGTATTTTTTTAAGGGAATAATTTTTTATGTTTCTTTTTTAATAACTTTTCTTTAAAAAAAAGTTTCTTTAAAAATCTTTTTCTTAAATATCTTTTCGTTAACAATCTTTTCCTTAAAAATCTTTCCTTTGGAAATATTTTCTTCAAAAATCTTTTGTTTTTTAAATACTTTCTTCAAAAATATGTTTTTTACATCTTTTCTTCAAAAATATTTTTTTAAAACTTTTTTCTTTAAAAATCTTTTCTAAGAAAGAATTTTTACTTTATTTTACTTTTAAATATTATTTCATCACTGCAAAAACGGTGAAATAAAAAAAAATTTGTGTCATTTTTAGGAAGAGTGATAAATAATTACTTTTGCATTTTAAAAAATGATAAATGTTTATAAATTATTATAAAAGTTTATAAAAGTTTATAAAAGTTTATAAATGATTAGAAATGATTAAAAATATTCATAAATGTTTATAAAAGTTTATAAAAGTTTATAAATGTTTATAAATATTTATAAATGTTAATGCATTTTTATAAATGTTTATAAATGTTCATAAATCATTTCAAATGTTTATAAATGCTTATGAAGTTTTATAAAGGTTTATAAATGTTTGTAAACGTTTAAAAATGATTTCAAATGATTTCAAATGATTAGAAACGATTACAAACGATCACAAATGATTATAAATGATTAAAAGCGATTACAATAATGATTCGAAATAAAGAATGAAAATTTACGAGGCATTTTTTTCGAGGTTCAAGCAGATATTCAAACCTCTTTAACTGATACCTCTTGAACTAAATAGAATTTCCTCTCATCAGAGCAGTATTTAGTATCACCTCTTCCTTTTTTGTTTCAATGAGAGATATATATGTAGGGCTTTTGCATTGATTTAATTTTTTTTTTTTTTTTTTTTTGAAGAGAAAGGGAATTTTAAAATGACGATGAAAATATTAGACAAAAGGTAGAAAACGAGTCGTCTGAAGAAGTGTGTTACAGATGGCGTAAACAAGATGTGCTTCGAGGGCGAAGGCGTGCGAAATGAGATGACATTGTTTGCACTCGTGATGTCACTAGTAATTGTAACTAACAATGAAAGAAGCACACGAGTGCGTACGTACTCACTTTGCAAAATCACCTAATATGCATTTCAACTTATTATTATTTTTATACCTATGTGTACTTTTTAGTTAAACAAAAAAATTTTCGGATTCGATTATGAAAGTGGGAAACTATATTTCTTTTTTTGTTTTTTTTTACTCTTTTCTTCGTCAGAAAACTATTCTAATTTCTACTCCTTTCTTCGTTAAAAACATTTTTAATTTTTTACACTTTTCTTCACCGAAAACTATTTTAATTTTTTTACCCCTTTTCTTCACCGAAAAGTATTTTAATATTTTTACTGTTTTCTTCATCGAGAACATTTTCAATTTTTACTCTTTTCTTCACCGAAAAGTATTTTAATTTTTTTAGCCTTTTCTTCACCGAAAAGTATTTTTATTTTTTTAGCCTTTTCTTCACCGAAAAGTATTTTTATTATTTTACTCTTTTCTTCATCGAAAACTTTTTAGCTTTTACTCTTTTCTTCACTGATAACTAGGATTTAATTTTTTTTCTTCTTTTCTTCACCGAAAAGAATTCAAATTTTGTCATCCTTTTCTTCACCGAAAAGTATTTTTATTATTTAACTCTCTTTTCTTCGTCAAAAGCTCTTTAATTTTCACACTTTTCTTCACTGAAAACTATTTAAATTTTTTTTCCTCTTTTCTTCCCCGAAAACATTTGCAATTTTTCTATTTTTCTTCGCAGAAAACTCGCAGAAAACTATGTTAATATTTTTACTGTTTTCTTCATCGAAAACATTTTTAATTTTTACTCTTTTCTTCACTGAAAACTATTTAAATTTTCTTCCTCCTTTCTTCACCGAAAACTAAGAACCTTTAGAAAAATCTTAATTCTCGACAATTTTTAAATTCTAAATTTTTTTTAAATATTCTAATATTTATTTATATAAATTATATAAATTATAATTTCTCCGATTTCCGAAGATTGTTTTTGTCAATCCTGAAAATTTAATTTCGAATAACATTTGATAATTAAAAAAAAATACAATCGAATATTAAATAAACTAACAATTATGAAATGTAATTAAAAAGTAATTAATTGAAATTCAATTTTTATAGGATTAATAACCCAGGATACCAAATTAATATGGGTCGAGAGTAATATTTCCATTTGTGATAAATTACTGATAAACGATTAAAATTGAAACAAGATTTTCTTCTCTCCTTGAAGCTCTTTACTAGTATTAATAAAATTCGGTTTCATTTTCTCGATACTCTCGTCAATTCCCAACTACTTTGAAATAGAGTTGAAATTCATTACCGGTGTATTAATTATTTATTCATCTTGAGACCTATCGAAGGAGTTTATTAATTGCCTAGTCAGACACGCCGGTGACGTTCGTAATTGCAAATAACGATAGACTTTTTTTTCTCTTCTTTTTCCTAGAAAAAATATATTTTATCTCGAAAAAGAAAATAACAATTTTGATTAGAGAAAAAAAATTAAAATAATTGTTTTTTTCGTAATAATTTAATATTATCAAAAAAATGATGAATTTTGTCGGAAATGTTTATCCTTTTTAAAAAAAATCATTATTAATTCGCTTTTTCATTTATGATAATATTTACAAAAGCAAAGTGCTCTCAAGCTTTGTGGCTTCTGAAAAGTGATTGAAAATATTCTTATCTCGTCCCCTTCGTGCTTTGTTGGAAAAAATAATTTATTTTTCAAATTCTAAAAATTACTCATCTACGATAGAATTGTTATTCATATCAGAATATTTAATTAATAATTTAAACTTTTGAAAAGAAAATTTGTTTCGGTTTGAAAAAACATAAAATTTCCAATATTTGACAAAGATAATTTATGATAATTATTATCATAATTATTTATGATAATTTTAAAAAGAGAAAATTATTTTAACTCTAGAATTTTAATCTAGAAAAATTTTTCTGTTTGCAGAAAAAAGCGAGCCGATCAAAAGCGAGAAACAGAAAAAATGGAAACAACCAGACAAGTGGAAGTCTTCACCGGAAATGGTTGAGAAAAAAAAATAAGAATCGTACATTTTAGAAATGTGATCACTTTTGAAAAGTATTTAAAAAAAAAGAATTGAAAACGAAATATTAAAAATTCTCTTCGTTTTAATAATCAACATGAAGGATTAGATTTTAATTCTCGAATTTGCCAAAAAAAAAGAAAATTAGGAGTTTATGAATACAAAAGAAACAAGAAAAAAATCAATGAAAATTCGTGATGGTGTTAATTTATTCACTACAACGATAAATGTGATTGTTTTATAGTGACGCAATTGCGCGGAGTTGGGTGAGGGCGTTCGCGATGAAATGTGAATCGCGAGGTGATGCGGAGGATATTAATTTTACCGGTGCCTCGTGCAAATGCACAATTCAAACTGGTAATTATTTTACTAAAAGTGATTAAAGTCTGGCAGTATTTATTTAGAATTCAAAGTGCAGTAAATAATTCATCTCGTCGAATCGGGTCAATTTTTATCTCTTAAATAAAAAAAAACATGGGGAAAGAATTCTGAAAATTTTTCATTCCATTCACATTAGTGATAGTTCACTTATAGTCTTAATTTACTAATGTTTATAAACAATTTAAAATCTACAAAATTTAGTAGATTTTTAGGGAATTTCTCTTTGGAGAAATATAGTGGAAAGAAACCTAATTAAAATATTTTAAAATTATCAAAAAAAGTAGATTATATTTAGTAAAATTCTAAAAAGATTTAGTAAATAAAATAATAAATTAATGGGCAAGAATTGAGGAAATTAATGAAATTAATGAAATTTATGGAATTGGTGGAATTGATGGAATTTTAGGTATTAATTCAATAAATAGTGAAGAAAAAGTATTTTATAGTGAAGAAAAAGGTATATAGTGAAGAAAAAGGGCATACAGTGAAGAAAAAGGTATTTTAGAAAATAAATGTCGCACTTGATTAATAGTGGATTTGTATAAGTGAAGTGCTAACTTCCGGTGCTGATGAGAGGAAGTGTTAGGCTTTAGGAGAAAAGGGCTTTGTGTCCTCGAGGATGAGTGGAGGACATGCCGAGTGATTTGAGGAGGATCACGCTTGTTTTACAAGAATTCTCATCCCCCTTGAGGACTTGGATCGGTCAGAGAAAGCTCCTCTTTTTTCTGAAAGATGAGCTCCATAGACTTCGACGAGGTGCTGTTACACGTGGGCGAGAAAGGAAGATATCAAAATATTATGTATTATCTGCTCTGCATACCAGCCACCCTGCCAGCTGCCTTCTTGGCTTTCTCGCAAGTGAGACATTTTTTTATTCAAAATAAATTATTTGCACGAAAATTCTTTTTCCTCATTCACACCAAGCTCAGATTTCAAACTTTAGTGACCATTTAACTACACTCATAAATAATAGTAAGCCTTGTTTGGTATTTCAAATGAAATTTCAAGTTTTTCTATTCTGGATAATAAATCAAAAGCTTTTTTTAATTTTTGAATACATTTTTAACTAATAGATGTTGCCTTTGATGCTATCTTTATGTAATCAGTATGGCAATGTTCGAAAACTTTATTGCAATGTTTACAATTCGAATTATAATGTTCAAAATCTATGTTGCAATGTTCAAAATCAATATGGCAATGTTAAAAAACTTTATTGCAATGTTTACAACTTCAATTATAATGTTTAAAATCTATGTTGCAATATTTAGAATCAGTATTCCAATGATGAAATTCTTTATTGCAATGTTTGCAATCTAAATTATAATGTTTAGAATCTATGTTTTATTTTTTATTTAATTTTTATTTTAAAATGTTTACAATCCTTATGGCAATGTTGAAAACCTACATTACAATGTTTACAATTTCAATTATAAAGTTTAAAATCTATGTTGCAATGTTGATAACGAAATTAAAATGTCTAATATCCATGTTGTTATATTTACAATCAGTATTGCAATGTTTACAATCTGAACTAAAGTGTTTAAAAATGAAATACTATATCGCAATGTTTGCAATATGAATTGGTATACTTATAATTTTTTAGGCTTGTTTTTAAATCATTACAATCCAAAATAAAATGTCTAAAATCCAGGTTGACACCATTGTTTTGTAATCTCTCCAATCCAAAATTAAATATCCAAAATCCAGGTTGCAATGTTTACAATCAGAATGGCAATGCTGAAAAACATTATTGCAATGTTTACAATTTAAATTATAGTGTTTAAAATCTATGTTGCAATATTTACAATCAGTATGGCAATGTTAAAAAACAGTATTGCAATGTTAAAAAACAGTATTGCAATGTTGAAAAATAGTATTGCAATGTTTACAATCCGAATCATAATGTTTAAAATCTATATTGCAATGTTTACCATCAGTATTACAATGATGAAAAACTGTATTGCAATATTCACACTTTTTTGTTTTCCCGTCTTTCTTCAAATATCGTTCGACGTTATTCTACTCTACACAATCGTATTTTTTGGTAATCCAAAGACAACCGATTGATTTTCAAATTCTAAGTTTCATGAAAACTTTAAAAAAAAAATTTTTTTAAACTTATTTTTTTCTGCAATTTTGGAATAAATATTCCTTTGATAGAAGTTGACATTCCTATATATGTATCGTGATGCTCATTCTCCTTGTTTAATAGTCCGTGCTTTCTTAGGACAATGATTGCATTGCATGGCTCACAAAGATCCAAATGGTCCAAAAAAGTGTACCGCGATTACTGGTCGTATGCATTGATACTTATGGGTGGAAACTCCAAATAACGTCTAGTTTTCAATGAGCTCTGCAAAATTTTCTCGACAGTTTTTCGTTTTGAAAGAAAAATATATAAATAAAAATAAAATCGAATTTCTTTTGATCCTATAATTTACAAGTTGAGCACATTCTTAGGGCAAAGTTGTCAATCGTCTCTTGAGACACAAAGTGATCACTTGTCCATTGATTATTTAGAATAGAGTTTCCACTTGTCTTACTTTAATTTTAAAACTCCGACAAATAGTTCTAGAAATCCCTATCATTATTTCTTACCATCAATTATAATCCCTTTTTACATTTTATTTATCTCCATTATATTTCTTCTTCCGAATACCGAATATCTGAAATACCAATACAAAAACCCCGCATATCATATTTTCGCCTCTCATCATTAGTTCAATCTTTGATGTTCCAAATGGGGTTTCGTTTTGTTTTCTTGTATCAGATTTCTTGTCTTTAACTTCTTTACGTAACATAAATCGATTTCAGAGTCAATTTTGGTCCAGGAAATTAATCCATTAAAACTGACCTAGTTTATTTGATAAGACGAAGGAAGGTCAAAGAAAAAAAAAATTGTACACTGCGGTCTGTAAATGAAATTTTTTTCGCAAAAAAAAAGAATTAATTTCCTGTCTCTCTCTCTCTTGTTAATGATACTCTTTTTTTTGGATAAAGAGTTTCTGTGGATTCATTTGATTTTCTTTTATGTTTTATGATAAAAGCTTTTTCCCCTTCATAATTTATTTTCTCAGATATGAATGTTTGAATATCAAGTATCAAAATCTTTTATGAATAAAGTAAATTTTTTTCATAATTATTATTTAAATAAGAGGAAAATATATAAATGATAAAGATAGAAACTCAATATTATGGGTTTTTAATGAAAATATGCAAATAAAATTAGTTCTCTTAAAATAAAAATTCGTTTTTGCATTTTTAAATTAATTAATAAAAGAAAAATTTGTGTTATCTCAATTTTTCTAAAAATATTACTTGGCGTTTCATTGCAAAAACATATTTGATTGAGACATTTTTTTTTATTTATAAATTTTGTAGATTTAATCTATTTATAAACTGAAATTCAAAACCAAAATCTATTTATAATTAGGTATTACCTCTACTCTATTATTTTTTATTGATTTTATTTATTATTTTATTTACCAATCCACTGTTGTATACTTTACTATTTATTTTTTTTATTGTTTTCACTATTTATTATTTTACTTAGCCATCCAGTTTTATTGTTTTCCTCAAGTATATTTAACTTTGAGAATAATTTTAAATAATGTAATTTTTCCTTTCAATTGTATTTTTCATTTTTCTCTTCAGCTCGAATTTAATTTCTAAAGAGCATATAATCATGTTCCTTTCATGTATTTCTTTATTCAAATAATAAAATTCGGGTTCCATATGAATATAAAATCATCATTTATATTAATAATAATGGACTGTATAAATGAGGAAATCATTTGTATTTCTCTTTCAACAAATTCAATTGTTGTTGAATATTGTTCTTGGCTGTAATTTTATGTAATTATTTGTATGTATGGTAATTGTGATAAAAATAATTTATATTCTTTTAATTTAGTATTTGTTACTTCTTATTTATTTCTCTTTAATCTATTTTAATTATTTATTTTATAATTAATTTTTATTGTTTATTTATTGCAATGTTTACAATTTAAATTAAAATGTTTAAAATCTGTATTGTAATGTTTACAATCGATATTAGTATTGCACTGTTAAACAACTTTATTGCAATGTTTACAATCAGTATAGCAATGTTGAAAAACAGTATTGCAATGTTTACACTTTAAATTATAATGTTTAAAATCTGTTTTGTAATGTTTACAATCAGTGTAATGTAAATAAAAATCGGTATTAGTATTGCAATGTTTACAATCAGTATGGCAATGTTGAAAAACAGTATTGCAATGTTTACAATTTAAATTATAATGTTTAAAATCTGTTTTGTAATGTTTACAATCGGTGTAATGTAAATAAAAATCGGTATTAGTATTGCAATGTTTACAATCAGTATGGCAATGTTGAAAAACAGTATTGCAATGTTTACAATTTAAATTATAATGTTTAAAATCTGTTTTGTAATGTTTACAATCGGTGTAATGTAAATAAAAATCGGTATTAGTATTGCAATGTTTACAATCAGTATGGCAATGTTGAAAAACAGTATTGCAATGTTTACAATTTAAATTATAATGTTTAAAATCTGTTTTGTAATGTTTACAATCGGTGTAATGTAAATAAAAATCGGTATTAGTATTGCAATCTTTACAATCAGTATGGCAATGTTGAAAAACAGTATTGCAATGTTTACAATTTAAATTATAATGTTTAAAATCTGTTTTGTAATGTTTACAATCGGTGTAATGTAAATAAAAATCGGTATTAGTATTGCAATGTTTACAATCAGTATGGCAATGTTGAAAAACAGTATTGCAATGTTTACAATTTAAATTATAATGTTTAAAATCTGTTTTGTAATGTTTACAATCGGTGTAATGTAAATAAAAATCGGTATTAGTATTGCAATGTTTACAATCAGTATGGCAATGTTGAAAAACAGTATTGCAATGTTTACAATTTAAATTATAATGTTTAAAATCTGTTTTGTAATGTTTACAATCGGTGTAATGTAAATAAAAATCGGTATTAGTATTGCAATGTTTACAATCAGTATGTCAATGTTGAAAAACAGTATTGCAATGTTTACAATCTGAATTATAACGTTTAAAATCTATATTGCAATGTTTACAATCAGTATTGCAATGATAAAAGTAATGCAATGAAATTATTGCAATTTTATTATAAAAACTAATATTTTTTTTAAATCTTTTCTGAAGAGGGAATGAAAAATTTCATATTATTTACTTCTATTTATTATATTTCTCATGACGTCTCTACATTTCAGTTCTATATTTAAAAATAAAATAATATGAAAACTCTTGGAAACTGCTATAACTTAAAGTTATTGAATTCACATCAGAATTGTTTGTTTCTCATTTCCCAAGTGTATCGTCCATCAAATAATATACGCATATTATATTAAAATTTGAACGAATGAGGTTAAACTTTTTTTTTAAATAAAATTTTATAACAAAAATCTAAAAATCATTGTCATTAATCAAAAAATTATTCTGTCAAGTATCTCTTTAAGCTTTTTGGCTCGTTTTCTTTTGTGCTTGTGTGTGTGTGTTTGTGTGTATATTTGGTCCGCTTTTATCATTCAGTCTGAATGGAAAATCCATACCTCATGTTTCTCATCTTTCTTATATTACTTTCTAGAAAATTCAGATATGAGATGGTTTCTTTTGTTTGTATAAAAGAAAGTAGGTTTTACTGTTTTCATTGTCATTATGTATATATATATGCAGAAAACGTGTGCATCCTTTATGTGTACCTGCAAATCTTAAGGTCATTTTGCTCAAACATACGTCACAACTTTTTAATTTATTTATAAAATTCCTTTTTAAGAATCCTTTAAAGATTATTTTTTATTTTTAAATTATTCTTTTCTTGTATTTTCTTTACTTGAATTTCTTTTTTTTGTTCTTTATTTTTTTTATTTTCTTCACTTGTATTTTTTGTATTTTTCGTACTTTCTTCACTTGTATGTTTTGTATTTTTTTCACTTGTATGTTTTGTATTTTCTTCACTTGTATTTTTCGTACTTTCTTTACCTGTATTTTTTGTACTTTTCACACTTGTATTTCTTATATTTTCTTCATTTGTATTTTATCCTCTTCTATATTTATACCATATCCCAAATTTTAGACTCTTCGTGTCCTGATGAATAAATAATTTTTATGCAACGTAACCCAATTTTACATTTTTCTCGAGGAATGAAAATTGTTAGGGCTTTTTAAATTTCAAGTTGAAAATTGCCAGCAACAGGTGCTCATATATTTTTTTAATTAGAAAAGGTTGTTTCGGAAATGAAATGGATATTAAAAGTTTACAAAGACGATTCAATTAGTTGGTTTATTGCAAATTAAATGTCGAGGTTCAGTTATATTTTTTTTTGTTAATTCAAACAGTTCTACTTGAAGCTTTTTAGAACATTGACATCGTAAGAGTACTCCTAAAAGGTCCCTCCTCAAACTTCAATTGACACACTTATATTTGGAGTTTTTTTACAAACCCTACTGCAAAATTTTTAAATCGACATCATTTACATTCAAGCATTTTCTAACAGAAAAAATTATATTTAGTATACGTTATAACAAAAAACTTATGTGCAACTATACATTTCGAGAGGGTTGAATTTTAAAATTGATTTCTGGAAAAGGTTTTGCTGTATCTATTTATTTTTAAAGTGCTATTCATTTTCAAGTTACTATTTTTTTTATTTTTAAGGTGTTTGTCAGCGCATCGCCAGATCACTGGTGCAAAATACCAGAACTGGATAACTTAACAAGTATTCTGAGCCTGGATGAACGTAAGGCTCTTTCACTGCCTTATAGAATTAGGTCAGATGGAAGAAGAGAATATGACAGGTGTACAATGTACGATGTAAATTACACCTCAATTGTTGAGTCATGGTTAGATAGTTTCTTATCAAATGACTCTCAATTCGAGAGTTCAACTTCGTCATCATCCATAATATCGTCGAATTTGATTTATCCACCAAATCGTCTTCCACCGCCACCGGTCAGCAATCCCAACTGGCCAATTACTAAATGTCGTCACGGATGGGACTATGACACTAGAGACTACGACAGTACCCTCGTCACAGAGGTAACATCATCTCTCTTTCACTCTTTTGTTACATTTTTACATTTTTTGTTTTCATTGAGAAAAATGGATTACAAAATCTCTAAATTTTAAAAATGCATTCAACATTCTATACAAATTTTGTTTTTTTAACGTTAAGATTTAAATTTTCAACCTTTAACTTTAAATTTTTAATCTTTAACTTTAAATTTTTAATCTTTAACTTTAGATTTTGCCTGTAATCCATTTTTGTCAACAACTTTAATCTCTTTGAATGATTTGAAATAAAAATAGTAAAAGTAAATGGTTCTGATTATGTGTAATGACAAGTTTATTGGTCAAATTGCTATAATAAGGGCATTTGAAGAATTAAATCTGAAGTACTTCCGGTTGCAAAAAAAAAATTTGCGACCTTCGATTATAAGTGGTTAAGGACAGTACACGATGGAACTGTTGAAAACTTTCAAACATTCATCTTCCTTCAGTGAAATGAACAGTTTATGGTCAGACAAAATAGAATCTGGGCAAAAAAACAATACAGTATTATTTCTATTTTTAATATGTGGAGTAAAACAAACAGTATTAAAATTTGTCTGCTGAATTTTTGAAAACTTAATAGAAGCAGGAAATAGAGAAAGAAGTTTGTAAGAGAAAAAAAAGAGAATATTATGAAAATATTATATATGGGTTAATGTTATGAAAAGAAGAATTGTGAATAGAATGAAAAGAGGAGGGATATAATGTGGGGTGAGTGAACGAAAATGAATTCGACAGGTGAAAATAGGCGTAAACGTATATAAGACCAAATAAATTGCAGCTCTTGGTGGCGTCAGCAATTGACGACCAATTTACCTACCCCCACATCCGGTCATGTGATACATTGCGATCAAACGCTCATGCATGCCTCTGGCTTTTATCTATACAAAAGGGTACATCTCATCCGTAAATACATACAATCCACAATTTTTCTTTGTATGACGTAAACACGCCCCTTCATTATTTCCACCCTTCTCTGATTATTCTCCGTTATATGAATTTCACGTTTATTTTTATTAGCTTAAAGCTCTGCACTCTCATTCGTTGAAAATATTTAATTTTTGTCTTCAATTATGCCAAATTGTTTTTTTAAACTCAAATTATGCCAAATTGGGTTTTTTAAATCAAATTCTGACAAATTTTTTTTTTAAATAAAGGATTGCATACTGTTTGATATTTAGTTGCATATTTACTTTGCACTATTTGTTCTAATTAAAATTTTATATTACATTGGGAATTGTTAAATCTTAGGTCAAATTATTGCAGTGTTTACAATCAGTATTGCAATGTTTACAATCGGTGTTGTAATGTTTAGAATCTATGTTGCAATGCTTACAATCCGTATAGCAATGTTAAACAATATTGTTGCAATGTTTACAATTTAAATTGTAATGCTTAAAATCTATGTTGCAATGTTTATAATCAGTGTGGCAATATTGAAAAACAGTGTTGCAATGTTTACAATCAGTATGTCAATGATGAAAAACAGTATTGCAATGTTTACAATCCGAATTACAATGTTTAAAAGTTATATTTGAATATTTACAATCCGTACTGTATTGATCAAAATCTGTATCACAATTCTTCCAATCGGTATTCAAATTTGTTGATATTGTATAATATTTACCATTTGTAACGGAAAAATAACAATTAAAATTGTTAATTCTGCAAACAATTGCATTTGAATTTGATCAGTGCGAAAAAAAAGTATACATAAAGAAACAATCATTCGTGTAAAGTGCATGGGACCGTGATGCTCGATACGGAAAAGACAATGACTTGTTCCGGGACTCGATGTAGTGGGGAGTGATTATGATTAAGTCGCAACTCCTAAATCGAGCCCAATAAATCATCGGATCGGAAGCAAAAGTCAGTGTGTCGCCTACACGTCATCACAGGCTCGAATCGTGCATGAACCAGAAAGCAACTGCGGCTTGTGACGTAGTTACATACTTACCTACTAAACACACATTGGCATTATTGAATATGCACGAACATTATTATCTACTTATCCAACGATACACGTATGCGCTTATCTCCGGCTTTCAGCAGCTATCTATTATTTCATTCATAAGGTTAATACCGCACGAGTCCTTAAGATAAATCGTTCACTTCAAAAAGATGCATCTATTAATCATCTCATCTACTTTTATTGTCTCTTTTCACCACCAATGGTAAAACTGTTGTTCACAGTTAACTATAGATCCAAAATTATCTTTTATCTTAATTTTCAAAAAAATATATCATCCCCGACAAAAAGGGGACAATTTTTCTAATCTTAATTGACCGAACAAAGAGAAAAATAAATCTCCATTTACTATAGAAATAGATCCTCTACGATAAAAAATATTTCCCATATCACATAGCTAATTGTGGAAATAAAATCTAAATTGTCAACAATATGTTCAGAGAAAGAAAAAACATATTTCCCACACTTGAAATTCCATTAGATGGTAAAAGAAATTGTTTTTTTTTCAAAGTAAAGTTAAAATACGTGGTTGGGAAAATTTAATAAACGAGAGGTATGAATGTTGATGAACATTATTGAAAGTCCCTCATCTCTTACTTTTTATGTTATTCGGCGAAAAATCTAATTTCCTGATAATGAAAGAAAAAGAGAGAAAGAGAGAGATAGTGAGAGGGAGGGTGGGGAGTATACGAGGTAAATTTACAGTTCACCACAAGAATCGATGAATCAGCCAATTCTCCCCTTGGATTATTAAATTACTGTTGCACTCGTCCTCGCGAATTTCAATAACCTTCGACCATTCCGCTCATGCCTATGAATACGTCAACGTAAAAAAAAATGTTCCATTAAAGGGACTATACTACATTTTTCTCGCCTTAAGCTTTAAGCTTTATTTTTCACGCTCTCTAAACAAAATTTCGTTTGATCTTTTATAAACTGAGAAAATTTTTTAACAAGATTTTCAAACTAGAGGAATTTGTTCTATAACAGAATCTGAATTCCCTCAATGTTGCTCTATTTTTGCAATCTATTCTTTTTGATATTAAATATTTAGGATTGCTATTCAAGTTGTTGGATTTTTTCTATCTTAAAATCTGTGTTACAGTTTATAATCTGAATTGTAGTGTCATTTGCAATTACAATACCGCAATGTTGAAAAACCGAGTTGCAATGTTAACGAACGATATTGAAATACTAAAAATTAGTATTGCAATGTTTACCATCCGTATTGTGATATTCAAAATCTGTATTGCAATGTTTACAATCTGTATGAACAAATATCGGTATTGTACTTGACAAAGTAAAGCATTTAGTGAAATGAGATGAGAAATATTAATGGTGGCAGCGGTGGGATTTATTTCTAGATAGAGATTCAGATGACAAAGAAAATTTGCTGATGCAAATTTTACTCCTGTTGAAAATGTTCTCGAATACCCAATGGAATATTGGGTCATCATACTCTTAATGCTCCAGAAAAATTGTCAATTTGTAAAAAGAGAATTTTTGATGAAATGAAAAACAGAAAGGGAAACAATCATGTTGGTGATTGTGAAAGAGATTGACTAAACAGTGGGGAAGGACGGTGGAGTGGAGCAAAGGGTGAAGATGAGGGGCCAAGAGAGAAAGGGGGCACGTTCCTCCTGTCAACTGAGGGTGATGGACACCTCTTTCTGTGGGAGCCACCAACACAGATTGCTATTACTGTAACCATGTAAAAGAATTATATATCAACACATCACTGGATGAGAATATAGATGTGATCGACGTTGGTACGACCAACGATCTTTCAACGATCTTTCTCTCTTCTTGTTTTAATTCTGAACGAATAAAATAAATATTCTTTGATGCGCGCATAAAAACATTGCACTCCTTTGGTAACAATTGTGACGTGTCACAGCCAACACGTGTATGATGACTACGCAACAAGTACACATTGCTGTCATTCAACAAATTCAACGTGCCTTCCGATTGTCGGTGTAATTACGTTGAACGTATCGTAACGCACGTAATTCATGATGCGTGATTAAAATATAAATCACTCGAACACTCAGATTCGAAATAAGGAAGTGCTTCTTCTTTAGATTCAGAAATCAAATCCTCTTTCCAAAACCAATAACATAAGAATGTCTTTCTTTACCTAATTTTTTCTACTCTTTTCTTTTAAAAATTGTAAAATGTGGTAATTCGAGATTGGAAGAAAATTCGAATTAGCATCAAACAGAAAAAAATTTGTAATTAAATTTAATTTTAATGGCACTTTGCATCCACATAGCTAGACCTCGTTTGCGACAACAGTTGGTGGCCTTCCACGTCGACGACGTTTTTCTACGTGGGAAGTTTATTTGGAAATGTTGTCTTCGGCTGGATCGCAGACAAATGGGGCAGGAGAACAGCCTTTTTCGCTATACTCTTCTTAGAGGTTATTTTCTCCATAGCCACTAGTTTCAGTCCCAATTATGTCATCTACACAGCGTTAAGAACCGTCAATGGCCTTTTCTTTCCTGCCATCTATCAAATTCCCTTCATCCTCGGTATGTACTTTTACAAAAAAAAGTAACTAATTATTACATTTATAAATTAAGGGTATCCTAAATTAATTAGAAAACAAATAATTTTAATCTTCTGCTTTTTTAATTTGTCATTTAATCAAGTAATATCTAGGGACAATTTTTTTTCAAAGTAGTCGGAAGTGTGTTTAATTGAAAACAAAAACATTTTTATTACAGCCCTCGAATTAATGGGACCGAGGTACAGAACCTTCGCTGGCATGGTCATTTGCATGTTTTTCGCATCTGCAATGTCACTTCTCGCGTTATTGGTGAGTATTTTTAAAAAATTCATTAGTAGTAGGTAAATAAGATGATTATCATTGCATTATAAATCAATCGTATTGTTTTTCTCACTGAAGAAAACGGAAAAATTTAAATAACAGTTCGTGTTTAATTCACAATAACAGTTAGACTTAATTTACGGATGCAATAATTTTATTTTTCCACAACGTTTAATTATTCGAGATTAATTAATTATTGAGTGGAATATTTAGTTTCTAGATATATTAGAGAACTTTGCTGCTAATATTTAATCCTTTTTTTCTTTTAGGGATACCTTCTGAGACATTGGTACACTTTATCATTAGCCACATCAGTTCCATTTATTCTACTCTTTAGCTACTATTGGATCATTCCGGAGTCTCCAAGGTGGCTTCTCAGTAAAAATAGGATAGACGAGGCGGAAGAAATTGTTCAGCACATGGCAAAAATGAATGGTAAAACAGTGCCCACGAATTTTTTGAGAAAAATGGAGGTAAGCACTACAGCAAAGTTTGGATCAATTTTGTACCACAATTGTCAAATAGTTTTGTATTTATAAACGTAAACACAGTTCTAAAGAAAACATTTTTCTAGATGGATATTTTAAGACGTCAAGGAGTTGCCTGTAATGGAAAAAATTCCGCCGAATTCTCAGAGGAAATGGAGACTGAAGACAGACCACCACCACCATCAGCTACCCCAATGGATTTAATAACGAATCCCAATATCAGGAAGAAATTTTTTATTTTAGCATTCGATTGGGTTGCAAATGCAGTCGTTTACAATGGTTTGTCGTATAATACGACGAATCTTGGTGTCTCTGATTACTTAGCTTTTTTTATCGGTAAGTAATTTTGAACGTATTCTACAATTCTATAAACTTTCTTTTAATAAATCGAAACAGACGTTCAGGGTACTACTTTCAATGAATTCGGTTAGAAGGAAAATGAATAGGTTGCTCATAGGAAGAGGAGTTGTTATCACTTTTGTATTTACTTCAAACAAATTGTTTGCAACTTGCAAATTGAACTACTCAATGATGTTCAAGTGCTTCATTCCTTTTGTTGCGGTGCATAACGCTAAAAGTTGGGTTCTCCATTTCTTAAGTTTTAGGGTTTCGCGAAGTCTGTGTTACTTCCTTTTAATTATTTTAATTTTTCTTCAGTCCTAAATTCTTCTTTCCACGTTGTCTAGCCTAAAAATAATTAATAAACTTTATCTTTCACAAATGTTTCAGGTGGAATAGTAGAAATTCCATCCTACGTAATTACATGGTACGCTATGGATAGAATAGGAAGGCGATGGGTTCTTTGTCTAACAATGCTTCTAGGAGGTCTAGCATGCGTCTCCTGCATGTTTGTTCCCGAAGGTACGATCATATTTTCACAATTAAAATACTAATTAGAAATTTTTAACAGTAGAAGTTATCAACTAATGAGAAATTAGCTGAAAATATTACCAAATACTTTTCATGAATCCAATAATTAAATTTAAACGTTTGTCTCAGCAGATGCCGTTTGGGTAACAGTGAGTCTAGCCATGATTGGAAAGTTTGGAATAGCAGCGTCCTTTGCAGTATTCTACGTCTTTGTGGGAGAACTCTTGCCAACTGTTCTCAGGTCCCAAGCAATGGGAATTGCATCATTTATAGCTGGAATTGGTCTCCTAACATTTCCCTACATTGTGCATTTAGCTGTTTATTCCAGAGTTCTCCCTCTGATAATTATGGGATCATTAAGTGTAGCCGGAGCTATAACGTCTATTTTCTTGCCAGAAACTTTAAATATACACTTGCCACAGACTGTTGAGGAAGGCGAATTATTTGGAGCAGATTTTAAACTCTGGTCTTGTCCACCAATTTCAGCGTAAGTAATCAAAACTCAACTATTATTTGGATATAAATAAAATCGAAAAAACTAAAGGTGATAAATTATCTAAAATCTTCAGGAGATGTCCATCAGAAGAAAGGGCAGAAATCCCTCTAAAGTACTTCGTGAATGGAGGACCTGAACGTCGTTCAAAATCCAATATCCTCTCGGACTCTTCGCCATCGGAAACGGCGCCCTTAGAATTAGAGAGATGTCTACTGTCATTAAGTGAAGACGAAACCGCGAATTTAAAATATGCCGACTGTGAAGATGTTTAAAAAAACTTCATAAAGAAACTAAAAAAATTAGTAACAGTGCTAGAAGTTAACAAAATTTCTAGCAGTGAAAAAAGTGTCAAATGTCCTCTTACTGATGATAATCAGTTACCTGACTGTATCAGTCCTTTAATTCTGTATTATATTCTCAGCATAAGGAAGCGTTGTATTTATTTTTATTCCGTTATGATAAAAGTCTAATGTCTTCGTAAACTCTGCCTCGTGACCGAATTTTTATGCGCTGCACGCACTTTCAGAACATTTTTTTTTTATTTATTTACACAGTGGAGAATTTTGAAATTTTTTTATTTCAATATACAATCAACTTGACTCGAGCATTATTTTAATTAATAAAACTGTGAAATAAAAAGTATTTTAGTGACAAAATGAAATATTGTAAATAATGCCAGAGACATGAGAGCAAAGTGCGTGTCTATAATATTTATTACAAAGCTGCCCAAGTGAAAACGTTATCAAAGTACACAAAAGTACGTGGACTTAAGACTTAATACTTAACGTTAATTTCAGACTAATAATTATTGTTTGTTATTTAATATTTATTTGTCGAACGCACTGCCCTTATGAAGAAGACAACCATTCTCAATTCAAGCTTACTGTTCAACAAAAAATAACTTTGTCTAAAGTAAACTTGATGAAAAAGTTTAGTTCGAGATGAATGGACTTTTTTAGATGAAAGGTTATTTTTGCATCAAGAGTTTTAAATATTTTATGTAACAATTTAAAAGACTGCTTTGTAAAGATTACATTGTCATTGTATTACTATAATCCTTATGCTCATTAATTCTTTCAGTTTTGTAAGACTAGAAAAGGAAAATTGTAATTTTAATTGAAAATCGATGTTTTCTTCCAATAGGACTTATACGCATATTCTCTTGTGGCATTTCGGTCGCTAAGATCCTATAGATTATTATAATAAATGATCTTCCGTCACATTGTGTGACCTACTGTATTATTTGTGCAATATGCAAAACTCCAAAAAAGCATGACTCCATGTGTTAGTCTTATAAGTGACGTGTAGAAAAGATAAATGTATCTCATTTGTAATAAAGAAATACCGAAAAGGTGATTGAATCGTAGAATAAATATTTCCCTCTTGGACAATCCTTGACGAATTAGTCAGTCCTGGAAACGCCTTCAAGTTAGTTAGTCCAGAAATCATCACCGAATTAACTTCGCGTCCTCTTCGTGTCAGTCCAGGAATCGCCACCAAGTTAACTAGTTGTGTACTGTCATCCAGTTTATTCTTCGACTTCAGTCCAGAAAATTTCTTCAAGTACCAAGTGCATTCGTCGAGTTTCGTGTTGGTCAAGTTCATTCAAGAAAATAATTTCTACCACGAGACATATTTCTATTTTTCTAAGGACTGCATTACCTCGACATCAACGTCAAATCAATAATTCGGTCACTCCTAAGCTGAGGGGTGTTTTATCAAATTTACATCGACACCTGGACTCCAAACCTTTCACTTTGGCTGGCCCGAAAACAATTCGAGGGAAATCTACTGCATTCTCTGTTTCCGCTAGTCAACGTCATTTCTTCGACCTCACACTGAAGGAGGTATCGTTTGTTGGGTCTACGATTCTAAGAATAATTGATTCCACAAAGTTCTAATTTTGTTTCAGTGTCCCTGAAGACATCTGGATCTACTCTTTCTCTCTGATTCTAATTGTAAAGGATTCATATAAAAACTTTAATAATTTAATTTCAATTTAACAGTTATGTTGGTTTCGTTCTGAGACATAACAATACCAACCATATTGGGGGTACTGGAGTTTGCGGAGTAAAAAGGATTTCGGGTTTAGGAGTAGAAATTTTAGGAACACAAAGGACTACAAAGATGTAGTCACGTAACCTAGTCGTAAATAATAATTTCCCGGACTTTGTACAAAAAAAGAATTTAGTTAGATTAAATTCGAAATTATATTTTGTTACTATACAGTAAGATAACGCCTTTAACTATCACTTGTGAGGTCTTCTAACATTGACGCCGTACCCGCTGGGTTATCAGTTGGAACCTGCAGCAATAAATACCAATGTTAATCAATTATTTGAAATGGAAATAACAAACAAATTATTTTAGGTTATTTACCATATGCCCTGCTCTGTTTATCCAATACATTTTTAAATTTCCATAAGCTTTTACGTAACCCTCAATGACATTGTTCACTACCACTGGTTCTCTAGGAGCCCACTTCCACTCATTAGCATTCTCCCATTGCAATTTTTCCACCCAAAGAAGAGTTCCTAATAAAGCAAGTTAGAATATTTATAATATTAGTCATTATATACTTTTCGGTTTAATAAAATCTGGTGTGTTTAATTACCTGGTGTGTCGACAATTAAATCTAATTGTCCAGTGTACACGAAAACTTTAATGTCCGTCTCATTTAGAAGGAGTTCCACTAAAAACATTTAATAAAATTGATAATACATACATGTATATGATAACGACTCTCTAGATTACAATATTTACTTTAGATTACCTATGTCAATTGCAGGCTTCATAAAATCTCCGTTAAGGGCAGAAAATACTTCAGAGCCCTGTATTCCCCAAGTGGAATTTATTCTAAGCGCTTTCTTTACTTTCGTGTTCATCAATCTATCCAAAGCAGCATCACTGAACGTATCTTCAAAGCTAACGTTCTCTAAAAACATTAACAAACCCTAATAAAATTCGCATTCACTTCTAAAAAAAATGTTCAATTTTTACCCTCAATATTGTTGTTCAGATCTTTTACGCTGCTTCCACTTTTAGACTTGTACAAAATATTATAAAAGTCAATATTGCCTGTCATGTTCAGAATAACTCCCTCAGTAATACCCCATAATTGAGTTGCTAATTTCCACTGCTCTTTCTCTACGGCAACTTTTGTTCTATTTGCAGACGCCATTATTTTTTGATATCCTTGGGTGTCAACCATACCCTAGAGAATTATTTCTAATTATAAATAAGCAATGAAGATATCTATTTTTAATCTTCTGCTGATGCAGTCTTAATCTAGCGTCCTGATGATTTTTGATGATAGTCGTCAGCATCAGCAGAGGGTTAAAATTAAGAATTCGTAATAGCAAAACAAATTACAGTCTCTAATAGAAATGGAGCCCATGTCAGGACAGAATCAATTGGTGAAATCCAAGAATCTCCCAGTCCAACTCCTTTTAAGTTACTATTAATTTCGCCTTCCTTTTGGGCCTGGAAATAATTGAAGGTGTAAGGTGTATATATTTTTGTGTATTTAGATGACATCGTTACTTTTAAATCCACTTTATAGTCTACATTAATTTTAATTACAAAAATTAGAAAGGGTCAGGAATGAATGAGTAAAAAATTCTTTACAGTTCAAAATTTTAAGGAACCAAAAAACGTGATAGAAATATAATCAGTTTTAGGACTATTTGGATACCATTGGAATTTTTTTTAAAGAACTCTAACTATGTAGTCAAATGATTGAAAAGATAAACTACAAATTGTATTTGTTAATTAATTCTTGAATAAATAAAAGCAAGACAATTTTTTTACCTTGTACCATAAATATGCAAATTCAGCTGCCATTTTCCCGCCATAGGATTCGGCAGTAATGTATGTGGGTACCTTTTCAAATTCAGGGAATTTTTGTAAAAACTTTCCAATACAAACTAAAAGATCAAGTGCAATTTGCCTGTTTGTTCGTGCAAGGGCTTTACTCGTTGTAGTACTACTGAAACCCGTTCCCACTGGATTGTCGATGAATAGTACATTGTAATTTTTAACCTAATAAAAATATTACTAAATAAATGTTAAGGAAACAAAAAACAGTATTATCACAATTTTTTTGTAAAAAGTCCTGTATATCTTCAAATAAATAAAAAACAATTTATGATTATATAATTGAAATGGTGAAAACTGTTACCCAGGTATAATTTCTGTAGGCTAAATTAACATCAAGTGGACCAATTTCTTCAAAATTGCCATAACCAGTGGAGGATGCTCCTGGACCCCCTTGTAACCAGAGTATTAATGGCTTTTCGGTGTAGTTCGTTACATTAGCAGTTGTGTAATAAAGCCACCAAAACATTTGTGAGTGTTGTCTAACATTCACGAATCCCCATTCTTGTTCGCCAGAACCAAATCCGGACTTTCCTGAGGACGTTTCAATTTTTAAAAATATTTTAAGACGGTAATATTCAAGAGTTTCAACGTGTGGAATTCTTTTATATTTAAATCATCTTAGGATGATGAAGGTTACCCTTCTAAGGCTAACTTCAAACTCTAATCATATGGGACGCTGCAATGACGCTGACCAAAATTAACTATTTGGGTCTTGCATCTGGGCAGCAGATACCAAATATGTTAATCAGTGTTTTGTCACTCTCCGATAGTCACTCACCAGCCTAATACTAAGCACACGCGCCTAAATTAAATCAACAATAAAATGTTGACCCCGAAAGTAATTAAAGTGGGTGAGCATAGTTTACTCTTGCTCACTCACAAGGAACTTAAAAGGTGACACTCTTGCAGAATTCGTCAGTCCAGGAATCGCCACCAAGTTAACTAGTTGTGTACTGTCATCAAGTTTATTCTTCGACTCCAGTCCACAAAATCTCGTACCAAGTGCATTCTTCGAGTTTCGTGTTGGTCAAGTTCATTCAAGGAGATAATTTCTACCACGAGGCACATTTCAATTTTTTTAAGGACTCCATTACCTCGACATCAACGTCAAATCAATAATTTCGTCACTCCTAAGCTGAGGGGTGTTTTAGCTAATTTACATCGACATCTGGACTCCAAACCTTTCACTTTGGCTGGTGAAATCTACTGCATTCTCTGTTTCCGCTAGACAACGTCATTTCTTCGACCTCACACTAAAGGAGGTATCCCTTGTTGGGTCTACGACCCTAAGAATAATTTTAAAAAGTATTTTTAATACTTTTTAAATTTTGGCCCCATTTAAATTCTTGATTGATTCCACAAAACTTTGTTTCAGTGTCCCTGAAGACATCTGGATCTACTCTTTCTCTCTGATTCTAATTGTAAAGGATGCAAACTTGAAATCTAATCTTCATCGACACCTGGACTCTGGACCATTCACTTTTGGCTGATCCGAAAGCATTCCAAGGAAAACGTCTACTTTCGTTTTTCTGTAACCGGTCGTCAAGGTCATTTTCTCGACGCCACACTGAAGGAAGACTTATTTCCTGGGTCAACGACTCTAAGAATAATTTAAAAAGATCTGACACTCTCGTAACAAACATAATTTAAATTCCGAAATTGATTCCTTACAAATTTTAATTTTGTTTCAGTGTTTCCAATAAAACTTCTGGATCTATCTACTCTAGATTATAAAGGGTACAAATAAATAGTTTGAATATCTAAATTTAAATACAGTTTCTCTTTTCTTTAACTTATATCCCTTCAGCTCTGTGAATAAAAAAGAATTCACTACCGAGGTAGACTATTAAATAGAATATAATTATGTTTACAACTTCATATAACTGGACCCCAGTTGCCAACACCCAATTAATCTTTTTTGCGGTGATTTTAAACAAAAAATATTTAATTTTCAAAATAAAGTGGGTGCTGGTTCCACATTCACTAAATCTTGGATCCTCGACCAGAATGAATTTTTCTTGTTCTAAATATTAAGCAAGTATTCGTTATCGAATAATGAATCCGATTTGTGATTCGGTCATCAAGATAAATTATTATTTTTACGTCGTATAATTAATTTAATATTGATAAACGATTAGCAAACGTGAGGTGTGTTGCATTTTAGAGCATTTTCTCTAAAAACTTTCAGGAAGTCAATTAAAAAAACTGCGAAATAAATTATGGCGTCACTTCATTAAAAAATAATAGCATCGCGAAATTTATCATCAATTATAAAAATCACAAGTTTAGTAAATCTTTTTACTCTTTTAAAGTAAATTGTATAAATGACACCGCATATTCTAGGAGGGACTTGCTAGACGGAAGATCCTGAGAAGCACGAGAGGAGTTCAGTATTACTTTATATACTAAATAATTAATTAAAATTTATGATTACATATTTTGTTATACTAAATATGAAATGGAGAATGTATATCATTAAAAAAATTTTAATTTCCTCTTACCATGACTGACATGAAGAATGCCTAATAGAAGAATAAAAATACAGTTTTTTGAAAACATTTTATTACTATTACTCTTATTCCGGTAACTGCTTTGTCAACCTACTGACCACGTTCTTCAGAAACACTGATATAAATTGAGGATGTCCCGGTTATCTTTCTTGTGTCGATTAGATTTACATTGTCGCCTTTATCAAAGGAAACCTCTTCGAATGTTTGAATTTTCCCCTCCGAAAAAAAATTGATTCGTCAATAATTAAATTCAAAACTCTTAAGCATAAATATTTTGGATATTTTCATCATTATAATTCTTGTGAAAATTTTGAAATCTGTAAAAACTGTAATCGAACTTAGTTGTGAAAATTAAAAAAAAGGTCCATTGAAGATGACTATGGAATTTAGTAAAAAAAAAATTGATTTCAAGAATTAAAAATATTTTCTTCTCTAGGAGACACAATAGTGCAACACTTTGTCTCTTATTTAATCTTCTATTTCTTTATTAATTCAGAGCTGACCTCATAGAGGAAAATTATCCACTCAACACATCATAATCATAAGTATCATCCAACAATAAATTAATTTTAATTTTTACAAACAATTTTAGAATAGTTTACTTGCTAGCTTTTGTAAATTAAATTTCAAAGTAAAATTTCCAATTAGTGAACCAATTTAATCATTCAATCTTAAAAATAAAAGAAAATGTTAATTATTCTGTCTTATTAAAATTCTTAACTTTTAACAAGTCGAAAATTAATGCGTTTTATAAAATATACGCCAAAGAACTGATTTCTTTTTTTATCTAAATGGAACGAGAATAATCAAACCAAAGTAAACGGAATTCTTTCACTCGTCTTTATGTTATTTTACCTTTAACTAAATTACAATTACTATAAAAATAAAGATTTAAAGGCGAAAATTACCTTTTTTTATTATAAAGCTTTAAATTTTATAAAATATAATTGGAATAATTACAGAATCGAGAATTAATATAAATTTAAAATTAATTTTTTAATTAAATTTCTAAAATATTAGAAAAAATAGTTGTTGACAATTGTTACTGAAAAAAAACACTGTCAACTGTTTTTTCATTACGTTTATCAATGACATTAATTGCAACAAAAATTTCTAGTTAACCTTTTTGTCAACCTTCAAATATTCGGATGAATTTTATAAATTTTTTGTAAATGTGAAATTTAACAATAAATACTCAAAATATTTTTACTACTTTTTTCGAAAATTTATTGGAATTTATTTCAAAATGCGTGAAATTGTTCACATTCAAACTGGACAATGTGGTAATCAAATAGGTGCAAAGGTATCAAAGATAAATAATTAGTAAATTAATTAATAGTTAATAATATGAAATAAATAATAATTAGTAAATAATATTAAAAAATAATTAATAATAATTTAACAACAACAATTTATTAAATTATTCGAAACTTAAATTTATAGTTCAATTAAATAAATCGAAAATCAAATTTAACCTTTTTAATAAAAGTAACTTTAGAAATAATAATCAAAAATAATTTTGAATAGAAATATATGTTGTTAAATTATAACAAAAAAATTGAAATAGATTCTAAACCATAGTGGAAAAAAATATTTTTTATTAACAACAGTGCAATTTTCGTTAAATTAATATTTAGTTGTGAAAAATTTGAAATTATTCAATTTCTATTGCATAATTCAATAAAAATAAAAAACATGATTAAAATTATCTTATCTATTTTCTCCATCCTTCAATTTATATATTAGTGATGATAACAAAAATACAAAATATATTTTATTACACACTTTTATTTTATTTATTATTTACTTGAATTTTCCATGAAGGTCAATTACTTTATTTTAATAAATTTAATAAATAAAATTAATAAATTTAAATAAATTATTAATTTTTTTTATTTTAATTTTTTAGGCCCTTATTATTCAAATAAATAATCGTCTACAATTTTTTTTTTTCATATTATAATATTTATAAAGATAATTGAATTTTTGAAACATGATTCAAAGCAACTTTAGAGCTGAGACTAGCACCGAGAAATTAAATTTTGAAAATTAATGTAAAATATTTTTGATTATGAAGCTGAAACTGGCAAACAGTTATCAGCATCCACTTAATTTTAAAAAAAAATTTTTTAATTTTTTAAATTAAAAAATTTTTTGTAAGTTAATTTTTTTTAAACGAACATAAAGTTTCGTAAAATTAAGTGGATGCTGATAACTGGACCAAAGTTAATTTTTTATTTTCAGTTCTGGGAAGTAATATCCGACGAGCATGGAATCGACCAAAATGGCGTCTACCGCGGAGACACTGACCTTCAATTAGAGAGAATCAACGTCTACTACAATGAGGCAGCAGACAATGTTTACGTTCCCCGATCGATTTTAGTTGATCTCGAACCAGGAACAATGGATTCGGTCCGTTCGGGTCCATTCGGACAAATTTTCCGTCCCGACAATTTCATCTTCGGTCATTCCGGCGCTGGGAATAATTGGGCAAAAGGACACTACACCGAGGGAGCCGAATTAGTCGATTCCATACTCGACGTCGTGAGAAAGGAAGCGGAGAACTGCGATTGCCTTCAAGGTTTTCAAATGACCCATTCGCTAGGTGGTGGCACTGGATCAGGACTTGGAACACTTCTTATCTCGAGAATTCGTTGCGAATATCCTGATAGGATCATGAACAGCTATCCGGTCGTTCCATCACCAAAAGTATCAGACACTGTCGTTGAACCGTACAACGCAATTCTGTCGGTTCACCATCTGATTGAAAATACGGATGAAACTTATTGTATTGACAATGAAGCTCTGTACGATATTTGTTTTCGAACTCTTAAACTTCCGACTCCAACGTACGGGGATTTGAATCATTTGGTATCCCTGACGATGAGTGGAATTACCACATGTCTCCGATTTCCAGGTCAATTGAATGCTGATCTTAGAAAATTGGCTGTGAACATGGTTCCCTTTCCTAGGCTTCATTTCTTCGTTCCTGGCTTTGCACCCCTAACGGCACGAGGAAGCCAGAATTATCGCGCCCTAACTGTTTCGGAATTGACGCAACAAATGTTCGACTCGAAGAATATGATGGCTGCCTGCGACGCTAGACATGGTAGATACCTAACGGTTGCCACAGTTTTTCGTGGTAAAATGTCCATGAAGGAGGTCGATCAACAAATGTTGAATATTCAAAATAAAAACAGTTCCTTCTTCGTCGAGTGGATTCCGAATAATGTCAAGACAGCCGTTTGTGACATCCCTCCCAAAGGATTGAAAATGTCCTCGACATTCATTGGCAATACGACGGCAATTCAGGAACTGTTCAAAAGAATTTCCGAACAATTTTCCGCAATGTTCAGAAGAAAAGCATTTCTTCACTGGTACACCGGGGAGGGAATGGACGAATTAGAATTCACCGAAGCTGAATCGAATGTCAATGATCTCGTCGCTGAATACCAACAATATCAGGAAGCAAGTGTCGATGACGATATCGATAATGATGATGACGACGACGATGATCAGAGCGATAATTGAAAATATCAATTTTGATACTGTAAAATTTTACATAATAAATAAAAATTGTAGTACAATTCTTTATAAACATTTGTGATATTTATTTGAAATAAATTTTATTAGAAATTTCTGATTCCTAACGAATACACAAAACATTTTACAATAACAGTTTATATATTTTAAATATAATTTATAATTTCGTCAATCAACGAGCTTTGCATTTGGAGGAAGTCTCCTTTTCTTCACACTTCTGACTCTTTCATGAAAAAAAAATATACAATATTTATATTTTTAACAGGACTGTGCGCTTATATTACAGTGCAAAAAAAACTACCGCAAAGAAAAATATTCTTGTACATTAATTAAAAATTGAAACTGTATCTACACTCGAAGGAATAAATTATCAATGAAAATTCGTTACAACTCGCTTATCATCACTTCACAAACTTTCATAAATTTCAATAAATGAAACATTTCATAAAAACAAATTAAAATTTAAAGCCCTTAAATATCTAAGCTTAAAAAAATGTAACTGTCTAGAAAAATTACAGTCGTGTCAAAAATATAAAAAACATTCAATCCATGGAAATAATTTCGTTAAATATTTAATTACAATTTTAGAGCAATTGTAAGAAAATTGATATGCATTTTCTTTACCAACTATATGTTTAAATAATTCGTATACTTGTAAGGCTCTTAAAAGAGATTTACTTTTCGAAACAATATCGTCATGGAATGTTCAGTTAGAAAAAAAATGATGCACAACAAATTGACTTTTTTGGAACCAAAAAAAAAACATTAACAAACACGAAACATGAAATAAAAAAATGGATATAACACACGTCAATGAGATTGTGATTTGATTGAACCTAACAAAGTAAACTTATAAAGAATACCTAAAAATTACTCATCGTATAATTACATGATGCCTGAGATGGGTAAACGATATCACGGTGAAAGGAAAAAACAATTTTTTCCTCAAGACCTTTTTTCAAAGAAAAAAAAAATTCTGATACCAGTATAACGCAAGTTCTTCTTCTTCTTCTCTTTCCTCTTTTTTTTATTCAAATCGCTTTTTTAACTTTTGAGCAATTGAAGCCACAATAGCAGCACCCTTGCCACTTCCATCCTCGACACTCATCAAGTTAAACTGAAAAAAATGTCAAATTGTTATTAGATATTTAATACTTTTGATTTAAATAAATATTCAACAATATTTATAATAAAACAATTTATATTTAATAAGCCAGTAGCAAAACGAGGAATTAAAATGAATGATTTTTAATTTTACCTTTCGTCCAGGAGCTAATAAACGAATGTACTGGTTCATCCAGGACTTGAGTCTGGGGTGGTGTTTGTATAACGATCCATCTACAGCTATCGTAACTTCCTCTTTATCTATTCTTTCAAGAAGGACTGATATACCTGTGAATAATCAAAAATTATTAAATTCTTCCACTAAAATCTGTAACGAGCTTAAAATTTAAAAAAAATAATATTAAATTCATAATCAGCGACCCCAAAAACCCCCGAGTAACAATTTTTATGTAAATTCGTTGAATTTTTAAAAAACATGTCCGCCATATTGGATCAGCCATTTTGAATTTTCAAAAACTGATATTAAATTCAAAATCAGAGACCCCAAAAACCCCCAAGTAACGATTTTTTTGTCATTGACGACCCCGAAAACCCCTGAGTGACAAGTTTTAGGTAAATCCGTTAAGTTTTTAAAAAAGATTTCCGACATATTGGATCCGCCATTTTGAATTTTAAAGACCTGAGATTGCTCTAGTGGTGCGTCTAGGACAATAGAAAATAAAAATGTTTACTCACACGAGGAGACAAGAAGAGCTGCTCGATTAGAAGCCACTTCACAGACATACTGAACAGCAATCAAATCATCTTGATCTGGTATAATGCCAAACTTTTCTAAAACTTCTCTAGTATTGTTGTATCCACCATCCAATGTATCTCTATAAAAAATGTTACGTTAAGTCAGAAAAAGTGATGTCCACAAAAAATTCTATCCTTTAAATTATCATCTAAAAAATTACACACTGTTCTATGTGAGAGACAAGATCGCTTGTGAGGTTTCCAGGGGTTAAAAGAGCTCCTGAAGAATTATTTACAAATAGAAGTCCTTCCTTTGTTAATTTAGCCAAAATTACTCTCACTATTTCTCCTAGATATTTTCCGCTAATATACTTTTCAAATCTAAAACAAGAAAGGTCATCTCATTTAAACTTAGTCAAAGATATTTGATTTCAAGGATATTTCCACAGTAATTCGGTTTTACTTACGTAAACGAATTAACAATAAGGGAATTTGCATCATTCTCTCGATCGAAATCAGTCTTAATAAAATCAAGGACACCATTGTCTCCAAATGCACCCCATTCAATGTCAATTATGACCTGAAAGAAGATAAATCTTAATTACTTTTGAATTATTGTGTTAAACATAAAACCCCAGCGCTTTGGGATTGTTTTATAAAATTAGTTTTACAGCTTTTTCAAATATTGAAAACAAACCTGTCGTTCTCCATGTCTCTCAACTTCCCAATGTTCCACCTTATCGGCACGTTCAAGATAGCAGGCGTTACTTCCTGTTCCTAAAATTAGACCAATGGCTGTATTGGGGTCCTCTGTAGCACCCTGAATTAAAGTTCCTGTAGTGTCATTCAAGATGGCAAGAACATTAACTCGAGTGTCGCCTCTTCTGTCCAAGGCCTCACGAAGAAGTTGAACTGCGTCTTTGCCAACAACGTCAGGACAATTGAAACTCTTTGTCCACGTTACCAATATGCCAACATCCAGTGAATGTTGAATCATAGGAAATGAAAACGTAAAACCTGGAAAAATTAGTTAGGAATTATTACATGAATGAGGATTATAATTGAAGAGTATAATTGTTAGGATCCGTTCGGTAAATTTCAATTCCCCTTAACACTAAATCTACTTGCAGCAGATATCTAGGTTTCCGCAATCGTTTCGTCTTTCATTCCGGGATTTTGCTATTTTATTTACTTTCAGTTCTTGCAAGAATTTTTGTCGCCTCCTCAAGAGCTCTTCGAAAGACTCCACAAACCCCAGTACCCCCAATATGGTTGGTATTTACTTTATCGCCGTACTTTTCCTTACATCAGAAGCAACTAGAAATCTTTTTACTAGCGAAGATCTTGTGACCAGGTTTAAAGCACTTAAAGCACGCAGCCGATCTATCCTCCTTCTGCCAATTCGTTTCGTTCTAATATGACCGTATCCCAAACATCGATGACACCGGACGATCATTACCCTTTTCTTTAATTAGGCAACATATAAAACCAATTTTTACGTGTCCCAGTTTCTCCAGCCTATCCGCTTCTTCTGTGTTGGTGATTACAACTGCAAGCTTCATCCCTCTGCGGTTGGCCCCCAAGAGCTTCACCCTTCTGCTTCCCGGCTTTCCTCAATCGCCATGTTAACAATCTTCTGGATCTTATAGTTCCATTGTCAGAATTCATGCTGCTTCATTTTCCCGCAGTTTATTGTGGGAAGATAAGTGAGGAAGTGATCGTGACTCTGCAAATCCATGTACCTGGATTCAATTCAAAGATTATGTAGGGATGACCACTCTTGTTCTGGTCGACCCACTAAAAACCACTCCCGTCTTATCCTGGGACACTTGATCCACCTGCAGTACTACCGTCAGGTCTTGAACTTCGCAAGTGGTGGTCCCCTTGTAACTCGGGAACTGTTGCTGTCAATTTTAGAAGCATTACTGAAAACAGACTTATAACTGACTTGACTGGTAACACTGCTCGTAATCACCTATTTGAATAAACTATCAACTCTGTCAACAATAACCAGTGGAATTCCAGGAGTTGGATAGTCCCTCCGATCATTGCTCCTAATAGCATTTGCTGATGCAGGTCAAAGCTAACTTCCTTCACTCCATGTAGCATTCAACATCCCTCACCTATAGTAAATACAATCTTCACACATTGTTATTAGATTACCTCTCGGAAAGGTCACATCAGGTCAACGTGGGCAGTTACTATTCAACTCCATTTACTCCATCATCCAGAGTCTTCATAACACACAATTTATGGGTGATATGAATCTCCATAATCTCTCCGGACCTGACCTCTAGTGACTACTAGATTAACCGAATATTATCCGGTTTCGACTCAATATGGAATTTCATCCTTTAGATTCCATTAAATTAGAACTTTTCTATCACAACATTTCATCAATGGTCTTAAGTTCCCCAATGGAAAATTTTCATCCTTTGGATTACATTAAATTAGAACTATTCTGTAACATTTCATCAATGGTCTTAAGTTCCCCAATGGGGAATTTCTTCCTTTGGATTACATTAAATTAGAACTATTCTGTCACAACATTTCATCAATGGTCTTAAGTGTTAATTAAATTTTTGGACTCAAGGTACTCTAATTATTTGGACACAGGAAGTGATGGGGACAATAATAACACTAACATTAATTAGGATCACAGCAGTGGGTTTGCGTAAGAGATATCGATTTCAATTTACCAAGAGGAAGCTCTACATTCTGAAGACCCTCATTGATGACGAAGTCACTGACACATTCGGCAAGATAGTCAAAGAGAGGGATCCCTGAACCCATTCTAAGATCCGCTCGAATGTGATATTTCTTCACGTCCTCACGCACAGCCAAGCCATTCTGAAGTTCGAGTAGAATTACTCGAAAATTTGTGCCCCCAAGATCCAATGCCAGGAATAGTCCTTCTTCTACAAAATCATGAAAACAACTCTTTTAATAAAATTACTCAAATGGGTGAAAAAAAATGAAGGGAAATTTACACCAACCTGTTCCATTAGGAAGCTCTGGTATGTATGTGTTCTCCATCTGTAGGGATGACGATTGCTGATGGATGCCTTTTTCCATTTCACTTTTGAAGACATTTTGTATTTTTCTGACAGTAGCTGCCGAAAACCGCATTTGTTCCAATCGATTTTCAATCTGAAAATAATAACCTTTTTAGTCATCTAGAGAAAAATCTTATTAAGAAACGAAAATCAGTGGAAACAAAACTAAAAATAAATGAGAGGAAGTGGAGATTATATCACATCCTGCAGTTTGCAAAAACGATTTTAAATTCAATACATCGAAATAATACTTTTAAAAAGTGTCAATATCATCAGGTGATAAATATTTTTTAAAATATGTCCAAATATTTAGATACATTATTCATTTCTTGTTTAAATTTCGACAGTTCATGGTCTTCAATTTTGTCTCTTTTGTTGCTGGAGCATTACAAAGAAATGCGCAGAGTTCAAGAGCAAATTGCAAGCAACTCTTTCGCAATAAAACTGTCTCAGGAACTTGAAAACGTTTTCCTGTCGCGGAAATATTAACAACAGATGGAAAACAAATTTTTTTGAAGAACTGCTTCTTTTTTATTACTTTTTTTCTTTTTTTCTCTTTTTTTAAATTGAAAAAAACTTTCTAGCAATTTTCTAGTATCCTATCGATAAATAGATGGAGAAATTGAATAATAAATGTATCTATAATATTTACTTAGTGGTCATTTTATGAAACCTTTGAACATAAGGAGAGCGAGTCGATAACCCTTTTGCACTGTGGATCTAATAAATAAGACTTAATTAGGCAAATGAAGAAAAAAATATATATGAACATATAGTCTAAGGTCAAAAGTCTCAACAATCATTCAATGATGAGAACTGTGAACTTATCTTGTCAAATCTTTCTGAAAAAATGTTTTTAATATTTTATTTTCTTACTTTTTGCCGTCTCACATCATCCGAGAAAACCAAAGGCGAAACCTGTATGGCTTCTTGAATGGCGCGATCTGTAGGTACCATTTTTTGTCAGTCCTTGTTAATTATCTGCAAAAGAAATCATTTCTAATAAAAAAAAAGTGCATTAAGAATTGGAAAAATTTGAAAATTTTAAATTTAAATTTCAAAAATAGAATTTAATAGTAGAAAAATAAAAAAATAGGAGCAAAGGGTCAAATTTCAAAAAATTGCAAATGTTCATCAATATATTTTGTTTTTGTAAAAATTGCTAATCTTTCGTTATTTGTTTCTGATAATATCGTCAATACTTTCACTTTTTATTTTGTGTTTGTAATTAAAAAATATATTTATATTAAACAAACTTTTTCTCGGGAAAAATAATATATGCGTCGAGAATTAAATTTCGAAGTACATATCACGTTTCTCTAAGCAAGATGTTTATGACTGCGCCTATATTATTTTTTGTCGAAGAAACATTCCTTTAGTAACTTTGATCTCTATTCTCAACTTTTTAAAAAAAAAAAAATTTAGGAAAACAATAAAAATTTCAAAATTTGAAAAAAACAAAAATTTAAAATTTAAAGTAAAAACATAAACTTTAAAGTAAAAATTGTAAATTTGAGAGTAATCATTTTACCTTTAAATGTAAATATATTCCTAAGAAGCAAAAAGCCCATATTTTTAAAATGATTGACGAACCAACAATAAAAAAAAAGAGGAAAAAAATTTAATACATTTTAAAAAAATTGAAAAAAGACAAAATATCTACATTAAAGAACCATAAAATTGAACCTTGACAAATAATCATAAACGTATATAATTCAAGGTAATATTTATAGACAAAGCATTATTTTCTCGTAATACTTCTCGACTTCAGTTTTGTTTCAATGTGTCAATCAAAAAAGTCATAAAAAATATGAATGAAAAATTTATATTTCGCAAAATTAAATAAATCTTCCTTTTTTTGTTCCTCACGACTACAAATTCGTTTACAAAAAAAGCAAATTTAAAAAAAAATCTTTTCTGAAAAGAATTAATTTTTAATGTATTTTATATTTTTGCTATTCAAAATTATATTCAATATTAGAAAAAACTATCTATGCTTTTTATCGCTTTAATAAAAGAATAATTAATAATCTAATCAAAAATTGTTTGTTGAGAAAACGGAAATTTTTGCGAAAAGCAATAAACAGACAAATATTAATTTTTTTTGATGATTTTCCAAGATAGGACTAATATGAATGTACATACGTCATTATTAACAATTTAAAAGCATAAAAAACGGGAAAAATTACAAGCTCTTTAAAAGACATTTATTACAAAAGATTAATGAAAAAGATTTTCCGTCGCGATATATTTACTGTGTCATAAAACTTGTCACATTTTATATACAAAATGACAATAGTAAAATATAATCCTCGTAAGTTCGTATTGACTTATTTTCAGGATATCATATTCATATATGCAAAAAAAAACCTGTTACACACATTAATGTATAAAAATATAAAATATCAGTAACAATATATAATCCTGATGCAAATATAATATAAAACTGAAAATTTTCAATCTTATCTTATTCTATTTTTTTTTGCAAAAAACAAATTCAGAAAAGTAATAAATAAATAAAAATTTATATTCTTCCGGGAAAATTGAATTAAATATTATCTAAAAATTTTATGATTTTGTAATAAAAGTTGTATACCTATTTTTTTCTTGAGAGGGATTGTGAGAATAATTCTAAATCAACTGCATTTGATATTGAAAATAAGATATAATTTTGAGCACATGTTTCGAAAATTTTTAAAGGTAGAACATGTCAACACGAACTGAGGTTGTACTTGGTGTATTGTTCGCATTTTCTTCATTGACTTATGGATTCTGAACGCACATGCGCGAAAATCCTATTCCCATGTGTGGGTGTATAAACGATATCCGGAATCGAATGTAGTGAAAGTAAAGCGAAATATAAATTTTTTTAAATTTGTTATTATTATAATTATTATTTTTTATTACTATCATTATTATTATTATTATTATTATTAGGCCAAACAAATGAATTTAAACATCTATTATTTATATCATTTATAGCTTCCAAAAATATTGAATTATTATTATTATTATCATGAATTAATTAAAATAACATGTGTTTTTATTTATTTATTTATTTATATTTTATTTATTCAAAAATATTGAATTAAAAAAACGTGGAAAAAACTTTTTTAATAAAAAAATTCAAAATACCGTCACCCTGAAATTATTGTGTTATTTAAAAGAAGAAATTTTCAATTTTCCCATCACGATTAAAATTAAAAAAATACAATGAAATGAGAAAATATACCTAAAAATACTTGATTTATGAACAAGAGGAGCATATATATATACAATATGTAACAACAAAAAAGGTCAATTAGAATTCATGCATTAATATCAATTAATTTCTATAAAATTGTGAACGTGTTGTTTTCTCGCTCCCTCCTTGCGGTTATCAACTCATGACGCCTCTATGAATAACGGTCATTCTATTATAAAAGAAAAAGAAAGACTTATCGTTTGTAAAAGAAGCTTATTGGCTCTAAGACGAGACGTGCCTCTTCCACTCATATTAGTTTTTTTCACATTCATCAACTCTCTTAAACATGTAAATATTCTCTAAGCTGCTTTCAATTATTACGTCACATGAATGTGTACGACAAATATTTACACGAAATATTTCAAAAAAAAAAAAAAAAAATTCTTAACTATCAAATTAGATTTGAATATAAAATTAAAATATGAATTAATTTCCCATTATATTAAATAACTCGAAAATTTAATTTAACCGATCAACATAATGTTTACTATCTCATACATATTTAATTTCACGAGTTATTTTTGAAAAAAGAAATTTTTTTTTATAATAATTATTGAAATAATTAATAATTTTATGATAAGAGTTACTAGTGTTATTATAATATAATTAATAATTTTATAAAGTGGGGGGATTGAGATCTGTAAAAACCCAAAAATAATATACATGAACATTAAAAAAAAAAAAAAAAAAAAAAAAAAAAAAAAAAAAAAAAAAATTATGAGTAACAGGGGTTATTTTTAAAAAAAAATCTAAAAATTGAACTAATAGAGTAGAACAAAAAGACAATGTGCGATAATTATTGGGAAAAAATATTTATAATCAAGAAATAGTAATATCCGAAGAACATTCTTTAGAGTCATAAAGCGGAGAGTTGTTCTTTATTAAAATAAATTGGAAGGTGCAAAACGTTAACTCCAATAATTCAGCCAGTTGACCCTACAGTAACTCTAATTGGAAACGTAACACGCACACTTGTAATTTACCATTTTAGAGTTAAAAATTGAAACTTGAATAGATGGTTTTACTATCTAGAGCAAATAAAAGATTTCGGGTGATATTAATCATTCAGATGAAACATATGCCCCTATTCAGACGCAGTAAAAAAAGAAGTTGTGTAAGAGTATATAAGAAATATAAATTTCTTAAAATCTTCTTTCAAAAATAAATACGCATTGTTTATTCAATTTAAGAATGATAAATTGTATATAAGAAAATCTCTCATAAGAGGAAAACGTGTCCGGAAATAAAGTCTCTCGTCATTCTCAAAAAATTTTTCAAGAGACTAAATTTTTGTTACTAAAAATAGTTTATTGGAAAAAATTTTTATTAAACAAATTAATATCAGGCAGGTGGAAAGTTAATATTAAGAAAAAATGATAATTCAGAAGGAGGTCAATATTAAAAAAAATTTAATACTATTATATAAAATAAATACTTTAAAAAAATTTAATTTTAAAGTAAAATTTAATTGAAATTGTCATCTTTAAAAAAAAATTTTATTTTCTGTTAAATTTTTACACGCAGTAAATGAAATTCGTCTCGTGCGTCCCTTGCAGGCGACGCCTCTGTTCCTATGATTAAGATGAAATTAATGACAAATTTTATATATCCAGGGGTCGAGATCAAAGAACCCGTGTATAAAAGCGGTGTTCAAAGTCTCGTTTAACAATAATGGGTGACACACAACAAATTATTGCATTCTTACTATTTTAGTTCACTTTTCTTTTATTGTTCATTAATCAGTTAATAATTCTATCAACTTTGTTAAAAACTTTCATCGGAAAAATGAATTGTTTTTTAATATTTCTAAAATTCGATGAAATTTTTCTTTTAAGAGAGGATAAAAAGAGTGAATTTTCTTCCCGGCTCAAATGTGAGAGAAATCATTGAAAATTGTTAAAAATAGTTAAAAATCATTCTAATAATACAAAATTTTAAAAAATTTGTTGAACTTAAAAAAATAAAAAATTCCCTAATATTCATCTAATAAGAAAATAAAAAATACGTGTTTTCTTATTTATTACACAGAATTAGAAAACAATTCCAAACAAAAAAAATTTTTTTCAATTAAAATTTTGCCTGGAACGACCCATTTATATTTTTTAAATTAAAAATTTTTTATTTTCAAAAGTATCCCATTTTTTATTCATAAATGAGTAAAATGAATTTATAGATATAAATAAATTTAAATAAACATTGTAAATAAGTAAGTAAATAAATAAAAAAAATAAAAAAGAATAAAAAAGAAATATTTCATAAAATATAAATGGGTCGTTCCAGGTAAAATTTTCATTAAATCAACAGATTTTTCCTTAAAAAAAAGATTATTTCTAAAATTTTATTTTTGCATGTCTTTAAATGAAACTGACCTCATAACAATGTGTCTATTAATGAGTCAAAGAATATGTTTGCATCTATTTAGTAACTTGACAAAAGTGTCTATTAATGTAATTAAAAAAAAAATTCTTTTTTTTATTCCACGTGGTAAACAATTTTTGGTCACAACTTCTTTTTATACATTACTTAATCTAATCCGAAAATTTCTGATAAATTAAAGGCACTTAATCTACCCAATGACATTTATTATTTTGAAAGTAACTCCACCTCTTATCTCCGGCCATTAAAATAGTTCACAAAGTTTAACACGTTTTTGGAGAAGGAAAAAAAATTTTTTCCCACATTTAATTATAAAAATTAGTTCTTTATTTTGAATTATCGTTCATTAAATACCACTTTCTCACTTTTTATCGTTAGAAAAGTATTTTTCAAAATTATATTCTCTATAAAAATAAATTTCAAAAATTAAAAAAAAAATTCTTCAGAAATGGAAAGAAAAATAAAATTATGAGCATTTTTCTCTTTTATTAATAGATTTTGGTTCTAAGACTTAGATAATAATAATTTTAAATTAATGTTACACTAACTAAAAAAAATTAATGATAAAAATTTTTTTTTAGATTTTTAAAAAACTAAAGGGAAAAATATGCTAAAAAATAAATAAATAATGACTAAAATAAAATAAAAAGTATTTCAAATAACGATAAATTTAATTCTTAAAAAATTTGAAAAAAATCTATTTTTTTCGAGAGAAAAAATAAAATTCAAATTCCAATCTAAAATTTCGAAAAAGCACTCACTTGGTCGTGTGAAAATTTACATTAATGATATGCAAATATTTCTGAAATTAAGAACTGGAAAATTCAATGTTAATTATATTTTTCCTTCAACTTTTTTTTTTATTTATCATTTAAGTATCTTTGTAATTCAACACTTTTATTTAAAAAAAAAGTGTTGAAACTTTTTCCGGATAAAATTTTCTTTAAAAAAAAATTGTTGACCTATTGAATTTCGATTTTATTGATTTAATAAAATTAACAAGTCGGCATTATGAAATATAAAATTTACTTTAAAAAATTATTTTCACGTTCATTGATACTTTAAAAAATTTTTTTTAATTTAAAAAAAAATTTTTTTTAATTTTTTAAAATAATTTATTATGACAATAAAATTTTTAATTATTTCATTCTTTTCCTTTCAAATTTAAAAAATAAAGCAAAAGTATTTGTGAAATTGTAATTTCACGTTAAAATATTCGCCACAATTCGAAACTATAATATTGTAAACCTGTTTTTGGAGGAACTTAAAAACTTCGAAAGCCGAGCATATAATATAGGAAACGAGTTTTCAGATAAATAAAGCAACTGAATGTAAAATAAATTTAAATATATTGTTTATTTATATTAATTTTGTTTGTTTGAAACACTTTTCTTTAAATTTTACAAAAACAAAATTTTTTATAAATGATTGGATAATTAAAAAAAATTTTTTTTTTACCTAATTGTTATTAATGGTGTAAAAAATAAATTAAATGAATTAAATGAATTAAATAAATTAGACAAATTATTCTTAATTATTAACAAATTATTATTATAAAGCATTTTGAAACAAAAAAAACAATTTTTCTTTTGGAAAAATTTTTTTAAAAAAAGAAATGATTTTTAATTACCTTTATTTGGGAAAAATCTCGTTTCCTTTGTCACAATTCCAAATCGACACAATAATTTTGGTTTTAAATTTTAATTCCAATTGTTAAAGATCATAGAGAGAAAAAAAAAATTTCGAAATGATATGTCGCGCGATGAGTTAACTTTAAAACGACACACAAGACTGTCCAGATATTCTCAGAGTTTCACGAGCAACTGACAAAGTGCCTATACTATATACTGACGTTAGCGTAACATTCGCTCGATTAGAGACGTGCCCCCAACACACGGAGGCCGATCTTTTGCTTTTTAATTATATAGAGATACGCGGACGACAATTCGTTTTTCAAACATATTTTCTACTTGCGCTTTCATTCACCAATACGAATCAACGATTGTTTATCATTACGCGACACACAAATACATGAAACTTAACACGTGGATTTCAAGCACGAGGTATTCCACGCGTGACATGTATCATTTTACTTTGAACATATAAAATACGTATCTTTAAAAATTTTTTGACTTACAAGCTTAAAAAAATATATTTTTATAAGATTCTTTCGAAATCGGTTGAGGAATTTCATTTCTAATTTTTAATTTTAATTTCAAATTTTTAAATTCTCTCGATGTTAATATAGGATTAAATTCTGTGCGAGGAGAAAATAAAATTTTTTATTTTTATTTTGACGAGAATTTAAAAAAATCGTTGAACATAATTGAATTTCTGCGAAGAATTTTATTATTTTTAAAAATAATTGAATTTCTGCAATGATTTGTAATTTCTCAAAAATTGTGGTAATTATTAATGCAATATTTAAGAAATAAAATTAAAAGTTAATTTAAACAAAATTCTTAGTAATGTAGATATGTTTACTTTATTCTTGAGAGAAAATAATAATATGTTTTTCGCTTCAAAAAAAATATTTCATTTATTTTCTTCAATTGATTCATTTACGCAAACTCGGGAGAATAAAAGAGTTCATTGCTTATCATTTCTACTGATTTTATAATTTTTGTCACCCCGATTTAAGAAAAAAAGAGTACAAATTACTGAGAAATCACTCTCATATCTGCGAACATTAATTAAATTATATCATAAAAGTTAAATCCATAATTGTTTTAAATTAATACCATAACAGCAATTCTTTAATTGTAATTTTAAGCTGATTTAAAGAAGTAATTTTTTTAAGTAATTTAAGTAATTTTTCTTTCAGTGATTTAAGTAATTTTTTATAAGAGAAATTTTTTTCCAAAAGTCATTTGAAACTAATTAGAAAAATCTTAACCTACATTTACGCATTTAATTCTTGGAATTATTATTACGTAACAGCATCTATTATTTTGTTTTCTTCCTCTTAATTGAGTCAATTAGAGTAATTTGTATATCGAAATCTTAATAAATGTCTGAAAAAAGCCAAAATAATTTCTCCTTCTACACTTTTTTTATTCAACATCTGCAACTACAATTCAAACGTTGTTTGTTATTAAAACAAATAACAAGTTTTGAAACTATTTTTGTAAATCTCTTCGTAAAATAAGGCACTTGTTTTGTGGTACTTATTATTATTTGAAAAAACTTTTTATAAAATAGAAGAATTAACTGTTGAGTAAAATATTGTTAAGTGTTGAACAAAGTCATCATTCGTGTAAAGAAGATGAATGACAAGAGATTATGCAATTTAACAATTTCATAACATTGTAGAATTTGAATGACGTTCCTCTGAATGATAAAACATTCGTAATGACTTGTTTTGATTAGCAATAAGTAGAGATGAACGATAAAGTAATTAGATGATAATGTATTTATTCCGGTAGTAAGTCGTCACCAAGTTCTTCATCTCCAAAGTCGTCGTCTCGTTTTCCAACCGATGTCATTGGTCTCACTGGTAGTGCACCAATTGGATCCGAATAATGTGAATCTTTAAATAGAAAAATTTTTTCAAAAACTTAACGAATTTTGAATTGTTTTTGGTACAAAACAAAAATTGAAAAATTTTTTTCAAATGGGGTACTTTTCTTTTCTCTATCAGTTGATAGCAAAATAGTTGATGTGAGCGGAACATTTTTTGACCATAAAAGATTTTGGAATGATTGGATAGAAAATTCTTCCGTTATACAAGGATCAATGAAAAGATAAATGTGATACACGAAAATAAACTGTGAGTCGGAAACATTTTTCATTCATCACGCATTCAATTCATTAGCCTAGTGCTTGCAAACTAAAATCGAAATTATTTTCCACTCGGAATTTCACCAATATTCCAAAAATAGTCCAATTTATTTGCAATATTTACCGAAATAAAAATTTATGAAACATTTTCTAAATTTTAAATTACGAAATCTACTTTATGGCAAACTGATAAGAGATTTCAAATAAAAAAAAATATTTATAGAATTTTTATCTAGTCTTCTTCTTCAATTTTAATTGGAAAATCACTTGATTTGGGACGTAAATTAAAATATCAGTTTTGCATTTATTGCATAAGATGATACATAATCTCTTTTTTAATTTATAAATTATATGCAAATGAAACCGAAAAATGTTTAGAGAAAATGTGATTAGAATATGACATGTACTATCTCTCTGCTTATGACGATAAGAAAATTTCTTCATTTATGTAAATAATTCCCTATATGCCGTCGGCAGTATATAATTTTCTGGCTGTAACAGGTTTCAAAGAATAGATAACAAAAAGAAAGATATATAGAAGAGGAAAAAAAAGTGGTAACTCACTTATGTGTGTGTTGGAATTAATGTGAATTGGTTTATTAATTCCTGCACTATTTATTCTATGATCCCCACGACTTAAGGCGGATCCTGCACGATGTTCTGATAAGGTGCTCATTCCGGATCCTCCCCTCGATGAATTTCCGCTGTTGCTTCGTTTCGAACCTATTGAAGGAGGTTATTATTATTTTTAAAAAAATTTGGTAGCTATTTGAGAAAAAATACTGTGAGGTAATTTCAGGAATATTAATTAAATGGGGATCCCTAAAAAATTACAAATTTATTCATCATCCGAAAGATTTTTTAAAAGCGTCTTTTAATATCATTTCTAAGAAAGGAAAGGTCGATCAGTTGCTGGAAATCAAGAAAGGAAGAGTCAATTTAAATAGGTTCATCAATTATTAGAAGTCCTTGAAAATCCAGAAGAAAACTTGGTGAAGTTTCCAGGAACCAAGCATCGAGAGATGATGCTGGAGGTTTTTAGAAAACTACCAAAAAGAAACGAAAGGACGTTCCTAGAAAAAAAAGGTCGAGCGAATGCTGGACATCAATAAAGGAATGCTCCTAATATGAAGAGAAAGTGTAGGACCCCAAACAGCAAATGTTGAGGATTCGTAAAAATCCAGAAGTAAACTTGGCACAGCTTCTCCTAGAATCATCATCATCAAGAAATGATGCTGGAGATTATTAGAAAGCTACACAAAAACTGAACAGGTTCGATAACATTCATCAGTGCCTGGAATGGACCTCAAGGAACGGGATGACCTTTTCCTTGATGATCCTTTTTCCTTGACCGTAGACCAGTCATCAACAAGAGATATAATCATCAGTGCCTGGAATGGACCTCAAGGAAAAGGTCATCCCTTTCCTTAAGGTCCATTCCAGGCACTGATGATTATATCCCTTGTTGATGACTGGTCTCCTTTCTAACATATTTCGAACATCAGTGCCTGGAATGGACCTCAAAGAAAGGGTGATCCCTTTCCTTAAGGTTCATTCCAGGCACTGCACCGAAAGTTATTTCCATGATGAGAAAAACAGACCATCAAATAAGATGGTCTAGAAACCGGACAAGTTGGTTTTTACTGGGTCGACCATAACAAAAAGAAACATATTTGGCTAGACCACAATAAACCGAAATGTTTCAAAAAATTTACTTGTTGTTCCAGGTCTTCCAGATCCGTGTCTTTCCTTCACCTCCTTAGCTCTTTCAACTTTCTTCAATTCCGTCGCATACATGTGAGCTTCATTCAAACCCAAATCACTACAAAGCCGGATCAAAAATTTAAGACACTCAATATTTTCCGGAAAGAGTTTATGTATATTTTTGTACTCTTCCAAAGCTTTATGAAATTGTCCCGTTCTCCTCAAACATGTAGCAACCAGTAGTCTCCATCGCGGCTCATCGGGGGCCAACTCTATAGCCCTCTCAAAATATATCATTGCCTTTTCTACCACCTATTAAAAAAACAACCTCTTTTAAAAACAACGTCAAAAAAAAGTTTAGATCTAAAATCCTAGTTCAAAATTCCTCCAAGAAAAAATTAAAATCCGCATACCTGCATTGATATAAAATAAGAACCTAGCCAATCGATGACTTCGAAATTAGCAGGATAATATCTGTAAGACTGTTAAAAATGATAACTCATAGACTGTAAATGTTAATTCTAATTTTTCCAAATAGTTAAACTCACGTCACTATAAAATTGATATGCCTGTTGCTTATCTTCGATTGTATCGTACATTTCGCCTAGCTTTTGTAAAACACCCGGATCAGATGGAATTATCCCCAATAATTGATTATACCTCGAAGAAATATAAAAATTAGCTGATAATTTACAAATTTAAAAATACAATAAAAAATATAGAATTAAATCTTAAATTCAAGATAAATATGATTGAAGATAGAAACATTTTAATTAGAGCAATAATTTAAATAAAAAATACCATTCCGCAGCTTGATCAACGTCACTCATCAACTGATACAAATGACCTATTTGATAGAGCGTTTGTGGGTCATAGTGCACTATAGTCCTTAACTTCCAAAAGCATTCGAGTGCCTCTTCAAACATACTTTGCTTTTTGTAGACTAATCCTATAAAGATAAAATTATTGTTCATTAAAATGACATAAAATGCTTTTTTAAACTTGAAAATAATTATATTATTCCTCCTTTGTACCGAGATTATAGAGAGCTTGTACATGACTTGCATCAGTGTCTAAGGCGCATAACAATAATTCACGAGCTCGTTCAAGTTCGCCTTTTTTTATCGCGCATGCAGACAGATTAACATAAGCTGCGGCACTATAACTATCTGCTTTACGAGCAGCCTCACCGCATTTTTCAGCTTGTTCATAATCTCCTTGCTGGAAAAATTTCATCAATTCAATTATGATTTGCAAAAAAAATTTTCTCCTTGGTTTTTTTAAAAACTAAAAACGTTCCCCTAATTTAAAGTCGTTCTGTAGACTAACATTCAGAATACAAATATATTCAGTATACAACACATTAGGACCCAAAGAATTCTTACCAGAAAATAAACGAAGGACAACATCGTTGACGCTGAACTGACAACTTTAGAATCACGATTCTCGAAAACCTTCAGAGCATCAATGGCCAATTGGGTTTCTCTATTGTGCAAGAAGACCATTGCTTTATTAATTTCTAAATCTGCGGCAAGTGTACTGTAGGATGAAGATTTGATAGCGTCCACACACCTATTTGAATCAAGAATTCCGTTTTAATTCCAGGAGTGGTTTTTATATAATTACCAATTCTAAATAAAATATTACCAGGCATAGCCAGATGTAAGGGTGTCTTCAATTACTGGAGCGATAAGATTAGCTGCGTTTAGGATTGTCTTCTCCGCCTCGAACTTTAATTCCCGTTCAAGTTTCGATAAATCGTCGTTCTTAATCATTTCGTTCAATAAATTTGCTGCAATGTCGTCCTAAAATGGTAAAATTCAAGTTGACGGTATCACTGGTGGGTATCTGGGTATCTTGGTAATTAAATTAATTCCTTGTTACAGCAAATCAACTTACTGCGCTCACACTATACTTATCATCTTCATCTATATTGAGTTGAACTTCTAGCAATTCTAAAAAACCCCTTTTCATTTTATCCCGGTGAGATAATGCATAATGACACAAAACTGCATGTAACCCGGCTCTGAATTCAGGCCTCTCCCTCATCACCCATTCAAAACTATTAGCTGCTTCTTCCAGTCGACCCATTTGTACAAATAGCATTCCAATATTATGCATTATCTTAATTCTGTAAAATAATTTTGACATTATTCTCTTATTTTTTTTTGTGTATAGGGACTTTTGGGAAATCTGCTTAGAGATCCAATAGCGACAGATACTACAAGTCATTAAGTAATCAATTATTAATAAAACGTTTACCTTAAATCTTTATACGCTGTCGGAGCCTGATCCAAAGCCATACGATACATTTTAATCGCTTGAGGTAGTTGTCCCATTTTAAAATAAATATTCCCCATATTAACTTTCAGTCTTGCACTGTTGCTGAACATTTTATTTCTCGTTATCGCTTGATATGTTGCTACAGCTTCTGTATATAATTCATTATTTGCATATTGACTTGCTAAATTAAAAAGTACCTGAAATGTGCAATTGGGATTATTAAGTCCTCTTCGCTAAGAAAGACTTCTTTCTAAACTAAAGAAAATGTTATGGTAAAAATGTTTACCGCGAATGTCAAATCTAAATTATGATTGTCACTAAGTCCGGCTTGTTCCTGCAGTCTTATGAGAGATCGTTCCCTGGTAGAAGCTTCTCTAGCCCTCTCGAGTGCAACAGACATATTGTTCTCACAAGCAGCCTCAGATGATCTCTCGATTAGTTCCATTATTTTCCTCTCGGCAGTTTTAATCTTCTCCTCTGGCCTACAAATCACAGGAAATAGTTTACTATTATTACTTATTAACCTACTTATTATTTATTACTTATTAACCATAGAGTAATACAATGGTTCACCATGATTTGAATTTTGGTAATGCGAACATGAATTAATGATTCTAAGGACTGTTAATATTTAGTGTAGCACTTACGTATTTTCTTTATCTGATTCCAGAGGAGGAGCTGGACCTCTACTGTTACTTCCCATATTTAGAGGATCGAATGGTTGACGACCACTACTTGTGTAACCAGCACCTCGAACTGCAGTCATGGGTCGAGGTCCAGCAGTGTCTAAACGACCAGCAGTACCACCTCTGTGAAACTAACATGATGAAAATAATTAAGATTTACGTATTCTGTTCAGAAGCTTCCATCGATTTTGAATCGAATTACATTTTTCGTTACAGTTTTAATTAGAGTCGTGGGAACAAGTCTAATTAAAACTGTAATGAGAGGTGTAAGTCATTCAGTCAGTCAGCAGTCATTCCTTAGTCATGTCCCTCAGATGGAAGACCCAAGATAGAACAATCTAATTCTCAAAATTATTTAAAATATAAAATGATTTGTAATTTATACAATTGAATAATTGGATGTTAAATGTTTTATTTTTTATAGTCAGCAGCAATCCTTCATTCAGGAATGGAAGATCCTAAAACTAATTTTTAAGTTCATTGAGAAAAAAGAATTTGTAATTTACACAATCGAATAATTAGAAGTGATGCCATTCTTAAGCGTCGATATATTTGTGAGTCAGCAGTCATCCCTTAGTCAGGATGGAAGATCCAAGATAGAATTATCTAATTCTCAAAATTATTTAGAATATAAAGTTTTTGTAATTTATACAATCGAATAATTAGATGTTGGACTGTATTTTTGAGTCAGCAGCCATCCTTCATTCAGGATGGAAGATCTAATTCTCAAGTTTGTTTATAAAAAAAGATTTGTAATTTACAATCGAATAATTAGATGTTAGAATCCGTTTACCAAAAGACTAACCCAATGTCAAAAGAAAATTATTTAAGATATTCTGACTGCCCCTATATTTTGTTTTTTACTTACACCAGATGCTGTTCCAAATCTCATAGCAGTTCCAGGAGGTTTAGGCGTCGTCTAAAAGAAAAAGAATTCTGATGCATATCTATTTACTTTTTAATATTTTTGGTTAAATAGAAAATTTAGAAAACCTAACGAAGTATTAAACGTAAAAATATAAAAAAAGTTCTGTCTATATTAGTTTTGCGAGAAAAAAAATTTCCGAAAAGTTAATTTTCAGGAAGTCAGTTTAATGTAACCCCTTAAATTTCTAAAAGCACTTACAATGGATCGTTTAGCATAACTTGTTTTAAGCGCTTCTTGAAGGACCTCATCCTGATCGAGATCCTTTGTACTGTAAACTGTTGGGTAATCATTGTATCCAGAATAAATATCGTCATCAAAAGTAATTTGGTTCATTAACCTCGTAGCCATAATTTCTAAACTGGTAGCATCTCACTTCAGATTAAATAATTATTTTTCGAATCCTATTCAATAGCCTACAAATATTTATTAAAATAATAGTTATTAAATAATTATTTAAATTCTACTCATAGAATTCTGTTATTTTTTATAATTCTCATCGTTTAGAAAAGTTTACATTAGAATATAGTTTACTTACTTGAATTTAGATCCAGGTGAAGTTTTTCTACCGGCAATGTTTATCTAATTAACATCTGACACTGACATTGTAAATATAATTACTTCACTTTCGTAAGAAGTGGAAAAGATAACATTTTTCTAAATTATAAAAAATAATTGTCAGAAACACAATGTTCGGATACTTATTTTATTTTCTTGACAAATTTAAATATAGCAGACACGTTCTACTGTAGGTTGTAGGGAACTTTCTATTGTGTGGTTAATCACTATAGAAACATATACAGAGTATTTATAGGCAAGTTGTATACCAACTCAGGTCGCCTCCTCTACTTTGCGCTTGCGTTAAAATACATATTCTAATCTTCAAGGTTTTTCCCGTAATTAATTACATTTTTATTTTAAATATTATTAATACAAACTTATAAAAAAATGACACTAAATTTCTATTTCTCAAATCATTTAATTTTCATACTTTTATTTTTTGCAAATCGAATTTTTGAAATAAAATTTTGGTAATTTTTCTATTTAAAAAGATTTAAATAATCTGTTTTTTGTAATATTTGTAAAATTATATTATAATTATACGAATTAAATAAATTTTTAATATTTTGTTTAGTTTGACCCGCTTCAGTGACTACCATCATATTTGTGTATCGCGTATGTCACCATGGTAACGCACATGGGGTCTGAAAACAGTATACTCCAACTTTATACTCATTTATACTTTTAAAATATATTCGGTCAAAGACCTTGTCTAGAACTTTAAGATTATTATTTCTAAATAAATGTAATTTTTAATAAATAATTAAGTACAAAATGGTTGCTGTCGATTGGGATCGTGTATTATCAATAAATCCTCAATCGCTAAAAGATGAAGAAATTGAAGATCTTTATCCAATGGTTGTTGAATGTGATGCAGAAGAAATTAATAACATACATAACCTTCAAGTGCTATTTAAAATTTCGCAGGAAATTTTGCAAATTAAAGACAGTCAGGTAATTTTTTTTTCTTTTTTCCTCACTTCAGATATTTTTTACTATGAATACGAATTTATTGATTTTTATTTATATTTTATTTTTAATAATTTAATTGATTTTTATTTATTTATGTTTTTTGATCGATTATCGGAAGAGTGATAAATGAAACACTTATTTCGCTTGTGCAACGTTTTTATTTGTATATTATTTTTACTATTTACTTATTTAAATAAAAAAATTTTTACAATTTTATTTTAATAAAACTTTCACCTGGAATGACCCAAATATTATTATTTATTAATAATTTTGGGTCATTCCAGGTGAAAGTCCTGGAAAAATTGATAAATATATATTTCGCCTATAAATTTTAAAAAACTATTTTTATTATTAATTAAAATTCTAATATTAAAATTTTTGATTATTATTCATTATACTTTTCACCAAAAAATTTGTTATATTTAATTGCAGATTGAATCACTTCTAATTGAATGTGATGAGTACAGGGAAAAAATTCTCATGGAAAAAGAAACACCTTCAAGAAAACAAAAATCAGGTAAATAAAAATTAAAAAGTAAATTAAATAGTAAATTACCAACTTGGAAAATTTTTAAAAAACAATTTTTTTTTTAATTCTGAAAATATAAAAATTTCCAAATAAAAAAATGAATTGTTGTAGGTAGAAAATTGGAAGCTACCGATGAAAGCGGAATCGATTCGCAGGTAATTGAAACACTTTTCTTTGAAATAAAAGTTGATAAAAATTCTTTTTGAAGAAAATCGGAATTAAACATAAATTTAAATAAATAAATTGAAAATAAAATTGATAAATTTAAAGTATATTTTTTTATATTTTAAAATAGCGTGATTCTGGATATGAGGAGAACGTTCAAGAAATGTTGCGCGAGAAGAACAGTAAAATTGAAACACTAATGCAAGAGTTGGAGGTATGATATTTGAAATAAATAATTTGGTTTTCTTTTATAATAAAAAAAATAATTATTATTATTAACATTGTAATTATAAATAAAAATCTTGAAAAAAAACTTTTTTTCCTCGATTATTTAGGGTTTTGAGCAAGAAAATACTATTTTAAAAGAAAATTTAACAATACTAAAAGAAGAAATGGAGGATGCAACAGAAAAAATGAATGAAATGACAGATAAATTGACTTCTCTTCAAGAAAATATAAATATTTACAAAGGTACATTAACACAAGTAGCTCAATAAATTAATATAATTTTTTTTTCCAATGAAACTTTTTTTGCAGAAAAATCAGGGCAGCTAGAATGTGAAAATAAAGCGCTCGTTATTCAAATTGAAGAAATGGCTGCTCAGCAAGTTGAAAGAGATAAACTTATTGACGACTTTGGCCTAGCCATTGACGCCAGAATAATCGAATGGAAAGTAAGAATATTAAATCAAATCTTAATTTTTTTATTTTGAAAAAGTCTAAAATTCTAAAAAACTAAATTATCTAAATGAAAAAAAAAATAAATAACGTTTATTAAAGTTTTAAAAAGTTTTTTAAACTTGAACAGTTTTAGTACGTCAGTACTTTTTCTACAAACAAATTTTTCCAGAAAATTGTAAATTTAATTTTATAATTATATAAACTTTACAATTTAAGAGTATTCTCGATGAGAAAGACGTGGAAATTGCACAACTGAAGGAAAATTTATCACAAACTCGAATGCAAACGCCAACAACTCATAAAAGTAAAAAATCATCAAAGATCGAAAGTCTAAGTGAAGAAATTGATCATCGTGATAAAATAATATTAGAATTGCAAACTAAACTTTCTGAAGCTGTCACTGAAATTAATGAAAGTTGTTCGGTGATTGAAAAGCTGAAAACCGACTCACAATCGTAAGTAAAAAAAAAATTTAAAAAAAATTTTTTTTAACCAAAAGTCAAAATTTTATTTGGAATACATATTTCCGTATATGACGAAATTAATTTGGAATTTTTTTATTAACAGAACCGAAGGTTCGAGGAAGAAACGAGATCAACGGGATTTGATCAAAAAATATCAATCCGCTAATGAAAGGATTGAAAATCTTCAAAAATTGTTAGACTCCGCGGAAAATGATGCTTCAGTAAAGAGTAAAGAGGTGAGGATTATTCCTAATAGAATCTTAATTTTTAAATTAATTTAAAAATATTTTACAGTCCTTTAAATTTCTTTAAATTTTTCCAAATTTTATTAAATTTAGGCCTAATTAAATTTCTTTAAATTTTTAAAAAGTTTTCCAAATTTTATTAAATTTTTTAAAATTCTTTTATAGTTATGCGAGGCTCTGGTCATAATACAAAAATACGAAAATCACGATCAAGGTTTAACTGACACGCTAAACGAATTAAAAGAAGTCAAAGACCAATTAAATTACAAAAACCAATACATTCAAGATATCGTGAATGTTATTAATAAACTGGAAATGATAAACTCACATCAGGAAGCGGAAATTATTGCCCTGAGGTCAGTTACACTCTAAAATTAAATTCAGATCCGAAACTGAAGCTGGCACCCTATTAATTTATTTTATTTTTCTAATTTTTTTAATTTAAAAAAAAATAAAAAAATATTGTTTTTTAATTTTTAAAAATTTTTTGACAATGTTTCTGTATTTTTAAAAAAATAATATTTTACGTTAGGGAGAAACTTGGTATGCCAGAGGAGGAAGAAATCGCAGTTGATCACATCATCAAGAGGCGACAGGAAGAAAAAAAGAAATTTCAAGAAAGTGAACAAATGAACAAAATGTTGAAAGACGAAAATTTGGAATTAAAATCAGAAGTAAGTTTAGCAACATTATCACATAAGAAAGTAACATTATCACTTGGACGTATTCATCAATTTTCTTTCTTATTTTTCCAGATAAGAACATTAAGGTACAAATTAAAAAAACTAGCAACGAAAATTGTGGGACAAACTTCTTCGCCCCTGAAATTCGATACAATCGACAATCCAGCAGGATCATCCCAAACTCTAGCGAAATTGGATGAAAATTGGTTCACGGAAAGGGAAAAAGATTTCCTCTCAGATAAAATAGAAATAAAAAGAATAAAAGACGATGTACAATTTTTCGTCGAAGAAAATTCGGCACTCAGGAAGGGAATGCATGAAATATTGGACAGCATTCGTAATCAAGATGGTGAGTAAAAGTAACAAACAAAAAGAATCCTTTTCTTATAAAAACAAAAAAAAAAATTTTCTTTAAATTTTTAATCCCATTTGTAGGTAAAAGTGCAGTGCAAATACAATCGGAAACATTGGAAAGATTACTCGAGGCCTTGGATATAAGACACTTGGCTGGCTGGTATCATCCAGCAATGAGAATGCAGGAACAATTAAATGTCATTCAGGGAATTAATTCCGAATTGAGGACACAAAATCGGGAACTAAGGTAGCTAGCTAGGAATTAACGAATTTCGAAAATATTTTTGCTTCCTTATGGAGAAAGAATTGTAATCATGTTTTCTTTTTTGTTTCACAGAAATGAGGCGAAACGGAAAGACCTAATGCTACAGCAAGTGGGTTTCCAATCACCAAGGGAAGCAACGAACGTCGAGGATACAGAATCGGAGAAAACGAAGATAAACGTTTCAGAAATGGAAGAACTTCAAGAAGCTTATCAAAACGAAATCGAAGAATGGCAGAAGCAGACGGATTTACTGAAACAAGAGAAATCGGATCAGGAGGAACTTATCATCAAACTAGAACTAAAAGTCCAAGAGTATGAGAACAACTGGAAACTCCTGAACCTACCGGATGATGATGTTCGCTCCGCCCTAGATGCTAAAACCAAAGAATATATCGAAATGGCCGGTGAACTTTCCCTAACCAACAGAAAATGTACCATCCTCCAAGAACACTTGAGCAAAGAATCGACAAAATTATACCTAGCCCAGAAGGAAGCAATCGCCAAGGAAAGTTGTCTACAGAGACATTTAGCCGATTCGGAGAAAAGAATCAAAAACTCCGAAAATCATATCTCGACCCTACAGAGTAATCTCCTAAATTCTGTCAGTGTCCTCCAGTACAATGAACTAAACGAAAAGTACGTCGAAGCTAACATGAAACTAAGAGCTGCAGTTGAAGATCGTCTGCTCCAGAGAGCAAAGCTCGAGACAAAGCTAGAGGAAATTCAAACCTCCGAGAAAATGGACATCGTGGTCATGGAGAATTCGACACAGGAAATAAAAATCAAACTTCTCGAGGAACAGCAAAGAGCAGAACGTCTATCGCAACTTTACGACAAATCGAGAAAGCAATTGACACAAATTGAGATCGATCTCGCTAGAGCCACGGCGTCAAATTCAGAGCTAAGGGATCAACTCATACAGTTACATCAAACACTCACGAATGAAATGAAACTGCAAAATACCCAACAACCGGATGTTGAAGAACTCCTCCGGGATTATAATAAACGGATAAATAATTTACAAGTAGAGAATAAAAATCTAAAGCAAATGAATGATATCTCTAAGGAGGAGGCCCAAATGCAGTACGCGGTGAATTCGTTAAAAACCATCGAACTCGATAGTCTGCGTCATCAGATTTTGGATTTACAAGCAATCAGTGAGGATAAGGAAACAATAGCCAGATTGGGTTTCGAATTAATGAATTGTCGTTCATTAGAGACGGAATTACGAAAAAGGAAAGAGGTGCTAGACAACAATTTGCTGGACCTGAACAGAGAAATCGAGGAGGCGAGAAAATCGAACGAAGACATAAGGAAGCAATTGCAACATTATCGGGAACAATCGAAAAATCGCTGCCAGTAAGAAATACGCTTAAAGGTAATTAAATTTTGTACCAAGAGAAATGGTTTAAGAAAATAAATGATTTTAGGTCTTATGGTGAAATCGTGAGGTTCTTGCAACAGCAATACGCGGGTTCAACTTCCCTAACTGCTCTGGAACGGTACGAGAAGAATTTGGAGAAATTAATAGCGGATCGAGAGGAATGTCAGAAGATGACCCGAGAAGCAAAGGAGGAAAGTGAAAAGGTCAACATTCAGCAGGAAATACTTTCCAATCGCTTGCAAATAGTCGAACAATTGAAGGACATTTTGGAACAGCAGATCGGTAGTCCGGATGTGCAGACTTTAATGCAACGATTTTCCGAGGAGTCTCAACGATTTCTCAGCGTAAGTACAATCCCCCACAGCATCTAAACTTACAGTACCATTGACCCTTTTTATGAAAACGTTGTATGAAACAAGATTCTTTTCCTCCTTTTCAGGATTTGAAATACAAACGACAAATTTCGCATCTTGAGTACGAGTTGGAGACGGCGAACAAGAAACTATTAGAATATGAATCAACCGTCACTTCAATGGAATTCGAAATGCTGAACATGCAAAAGGTCTGGAAGGATAGGGCAAATGGAGAAAAGGCTACAAACGAAAAAACGAATAACGAAAGTCCGCAAGAAATTCCGGAAGTCGAAGTGGATATTACTTTTGAAGAACCGGCAAAACGAACGGACGACGAAAATCTAAAATCAAAGAATCACCTCAAGGAAAATGTTGAAACAAAAGAAGTCGTCACTACTTCGACACAAACGGATTCAGTAGCTAAACGTTCAATTGACCTACAGTGTGAATTAAAAATTCCCTCTCCAGAATCAGAGGTCGCGAAACAAATCCTCGATTTCAGTTCCGATTCGAATAAACAAATCGAAAAAGACGAGAAGATTCACATTTTCCATAAGGAACAACTCAATAAGGCACTGGCCCTAGCTTCTGAACGATCGGCAATTATATCGAGACTGGAATCACAAATCACCGAATTCCAAACGAAAATCAAGTCCCTAATGTTGAGTAATGAAGAGAAGGATGTAAAGATTAGCGAGAGGGATAAAATAATCGAGCTGGGGAAAAATGAGTCGAATATTCCGAGTACGGCCCGATCGGATGAGGCTCTGAATTCGACTATAAATACTCTGCAAAAATTAATTACTCAGAAGGAGGAAACAATCGCTAGATATCAGTTGCAACTGAAGGAGGATAGAAATGAGCATGGAAAAGTTGCGAGTATCTTGCAAGAGGAAATCAAGCATCTTCAGGAAAAAGTTGCAATTTATGAAAAAGAGGATAACAGTAGGTAAATATCCTAAAACGCAACATAATTAATTGATAATTCCTTTTTTACATTCAAATCATATGGGAAGGTATTTATTTTTGGTGGAAGGTGACTTTTTGTTAATTTCAACGTTTTCGATATTTTTTTAGACAAATGTACGAAGTGCCGGAGAGAGACGACAAACCAGAGAAGGAGGACTCGGTGAAGGAAAACCTAAGCAAGGACTATGATTCCATAGTTGACAGTGCGAGACTTCAGGAGAGAATTTTAATGCTAGAAGCTGATTTGAAAGCTGCTAGGGAACTTGGTCAAAGGTGGCATCGTTTGGCTGAGGACAGACTGGGTCATTCGGATGCAATGCGATCGAGGTAGTTATCGACTATTTCCAAAAATTAAATTCCAGGATAATTATATTTTAAATTTTAATTTAATTTTGTTAATTCTGATATCTAAATATTCGCAAACAAATAGACTGGAGGAACAGCATAAGACAGAATTAGAGAGCTATCGTTTGGAACTTCATAAATGGCAGAGCGAAACAATATCCCTACGAAAACAATTTTCGGAAAATCGGATGAAATTAGCGAAAGAAAATATTTCCATAAGCAAGGATCTGCACGAGAAAGAGAATCAAATTCAGGATTTGAGCGTCACTTGTCAGCAGTTACAGGTTTGGAATTCTATTTTTTGCTCTAACAAGGGAATAACTTTTGGTGTGTCACTAGAAATTGAATAAAACTTGGCATATTTAAAGGTCATTATAAAAAAAAGGTTTATTGCCCTCTAAACTTTTTGCCATAATTCACAGGAAACAAAATTGCGGACACAATTTGTCCGTTACATTAAAAAAATTAGAATTTAATCCAATTTGCTTGAAAATTGTTACTCGGGGATTTTTGGGATCGCTGATTACGAATTTGATGTCAGTTTTTCAAAATTCAAAATGGCGGATCCAATATGGCGGACTAAATTTTAAAATTTGATCAAATTTGCTTGAAAATTGTTACTTGGACGTTTTTGGAGTCGCTGATTACGAATCCGATGTCCGTTTTTCAAAATTCAAAATGGCGGATCCAATATGGCGGATGATTTTTTTCAAATTCATCGGAATCACTTGAAACTTGTTACACAGAGGTTTTTGGGGTTGCTGATTACGAATTTGATGTCAGTTTTTCAAAATTCAAAATGGTGGATCCATAATGGCGGACTAAAATTTAAAATTTAATCAAATTTGATTGAAAATTGTTACTCGGGGGTTTTTGTGGTCGCTGATTACGAATCCAGTGTCAGTTTTTCAAAATTCAAAATGGCGGTTGATTTTTTTTCAAATTTATCGGCAACAAGTTTAAAGAGCAATTAGTATCTTTTATGATTACCTTTAAATGTGCAAAGTTTCATTTAATTCCGAGTGACAAACACACCGGAAAATGTTCCCTTGTAAATGTTTAAAAGAAAAAAGTAATAAATAAGCATTTTTGATTGAAAAATGAAATTGAAAAATTAGGAAAATAATTTTCAGAACGAACTGGAAGTTATGGAAACGGTGGTAAACGTTCCGCAAACTAATACTTATGATGTAAGAGAGGCAAAAATTTGCGAGACAATACATAATTCTAGTCGGGAGCAAGCTATTAATCAATCGCAAACTCAATTAGATTGCCTTCGTCGTCAATTACAGGCTTTATTAGACAAGGAGAGAATATACAAGAATCAAATTGCGGAATTAAAACAACAGCAAAGCAGAAGGTATTTTAAAAAAATTGGACCCTAATTCATAAAATAATTACTCTTTTGGACCATTCTTTTTGTATACTTAATGATTCTGTTATGAAATAGACATTTTTTATTTTGATTTAAAAAATGGCCGCTATATTGGATCCGCCATTTTGAATTTTTAAAATCAGACTACAGATTCGTAATCAGTCACCACTGTGAATCTATTTTCCTTGTAAATATGTAAACTTATGAGCTTTGCTAAATGTTGATGACTGGGTGAAAATTTTTTAGGTACATGGCTACAAAAACCCAGGAGAAAAAAAATCTCCAAAGGGAAGTACAATTAGATCGTAAGGTTAAATCTCTAGAAGAAGAACTGCAAAGGACGAAAGAACAATTAAATAGAGAATCACTAGTTCATGAAGTAAAGAAGGCAAAGGTATTAAAAGAAAACTAAATCATTTCAATATTTCCTTAAATATCAAAATGAAACTTAAAAAAAAAACTTTTCAAAAAAACTTTTAAAAAAGGAACTTTTAACAAATCTTTAATGAAACTATTTTATCTCATCGTAGACTGCAGAGGAATTAGCCCTGTGGGAAAAGCAAAAAAAATGGCAACAAATGGCCGAAAAATTGAAGGAAAAATTAAAAGAAAAAACTGACGAAGTACAAAAATTGCAAACGAATCACGAGAAATTACGTTCAATTATTTCCTGTATGGAAAGAGAGAAATATTATCTAAGAAGTAAATTGAAATTAGAAAAAAGTGGAATGTCAGCTGGTTTTGAATTTAGTCCATCAGTTTCGGCCGTTGAGTCCAATATTGTCGAGGATCTCGAGAAAGAATGTAATTTTCTAAAGAACAGAAATCAGGAACTTGCGGAAAAATTAGCAAATAACGAATGTGATCAACTACGGTGTATAATTGAAGAGCAAAAGAGACGATTATTTGCTTTAGAAACTGTCGCTGCAGTAAGTTTAATTTTTAATACAGTAATTTGGATTTTTAAATACACTTTTTTTCCTAAATATAAGAAAACATTTTTCCCTTTGCTTGCGACCTTAAAAAATATTCTGATTCACTATAAAAATTATATACTTTTAAATTTTGTATTTTTAGGGAAATACCTACGTGATAAATCAATTGGAAAAACTTGAGGGAATAAAAAATACGTTAGAGAAAGAAAACCTGAGATTAGAAACAGAAAACTTTCAACTTCGAATTGAGGTTGAAAAATTGAATCTAGACACTCCTGGACTTAGGGAAAAAATCGAACACTTGGAGAAGTAATATTTCTTATATTTGAAAATATTTCTGTTTACTTGTTGGCAACAAAATTTAGTTTCTTAAATTAGAAATTAAAAAAAAAAATTTATTGGTTTTTTCTAGATATGTCCAGATTTTGAAAGAAGAGAAAATTTCAGACTCATCTGAAAAACTTCACGAAGGATCGAGTAGTAAGAAAACTGTTCATGAACTTGAGAAAACTCTTTGCGTTTTGAAAAGAATTATCGAAAAACTTCAGGGTGAAAATAAGAGACTTAAATCTAAAAATAGTCACCGTTTATCGCAACAGGTAATATAAAAATTCTTAAGACAATCTCTTGAAAAATTTGCCGTCGGACTTTTATTTAATAAACAAACTTAAATTAGCATAAAGCCGAAGTCTATTTTTTTATTTAAAATTTTTTATTTTTTTAGGTAAAGACAACAAGCAAAGGTGATGAATCGTCTTTAAGAAAACAATACGAATTGTCAAAGCAACAAATTGTTAGTTTAGAAACAGATTTACAATTATCCGAACAAAGAATAATTATGCTCGAAAATAGTCTACATTTTTCTGATGACAGCAATGGAGAAATAAAAGAATTAAAGTTGCAAATTGCCCATAAATCGGAGTTATTGGATAAAGTTAAACATTTACTGACTAGGGCAGCAATTAATGAAAAAGCTCTCAGACAAAAGGTAAATATTCTTTTCAAAATCTTATCCAAAAAGTACCCCCAAAAAATAGTTCGATTTTTTTGGGGTATTTTTGAATTTTCGACTTCACTGTCCGCCATATTGTATCCTCCATTTTGTTTTTTGAAAAACTATCATCAAATTTCTTTTATAATAATTTAAATTAAATTTTGAAAATAGTTTAATAATTTTTGTCTTAGAAATCACATAATTTATATTTCATAATTTTTTATAATTTTTTCTTTCTAGATACAACAATTGGAAATGAGACAAACACTCAGCACAATACCAGAATGCTGTATGACACCAACAAATACAAATTAATTTAAGAACTAGTAATTATTGTAATAAGTAAATTAAATTTTTGAGAAAAAAATATTGTCTTATGTGATAAGATAAAAAAAATACTAGATTTAGTGCCTAATAATTTTGCTTTCTTCGTTCAATGTGTTTTAAAATTTTTAATGCGGATAAAATGTAACGAATTCTCAAAAGTGAATATTAAATGTAATAAATTAATTTAACAATAAATATTAATTTATAATAAAAATTATTAAAATTACCCGCAATAAAATTTATACCACCTTTTTTCTATGTTTCAAAAAAACATTTCTTAAAAACGCCTGAAAATTAGTTTTTTGAGCCCGTAAGTTGAAATTTTTTAAAAAATTGTCAAATGTCAAGATCAATGTCAAAATTTTCTGTAGCAAAAAAATCAACAGTTTATAGGAAGATTTAAAAAAAATATTTCAAGAGTTGTTGTGACAAGAAAATAATTACTAGTTACATAGTTAATTATTTAATCTAGTTTTTTCGTTACAATATCATAAATTGGCTACAATAATTATTAATTTCAAATTCTTGAAAGTTATAAAACGACGTTGTACCCTGTTTTGTGAATTACATTTAATTTTTTTTTTGAAAATCGTAAAAAAAATTCGTGTAAGTTAACATGGCGAATGAATTTTTATAGCAACTAACTAGACTATTATTAATTTTTTAAAAAAAGTAGAAATAAAAATGGTACCACATTAAGATTAAAATTTTTAAATTTAAAATTTTTTAATTTAAAATTTTTTAAATTTAAATTTTAAAATTAAAATTAGAAGATTTTTAGAAATTAGAAGAAAGTAAAAAATATTTACAATTTTTAAATAATAGGTTTTGGCAGTTTGGCTTTTTTGCATACGTGAACAGATGCATTTTTTTTAAATATTTGTGTCACATACTTTGTTCTAAATATATAATTTTTTTTTTATTAATCGTCATCTGGCCTGGTTATAAACGGTTCGATCGAGTTGACATCCTCGCAGTCAGGAATTATTTTGCCTTTCAATTTTACGCAAGTATCGGCACATAAACTTCCCTCAAAGTATGGTCCAAGCATTTTTGTGCACTGGGCACAATTTCTCAAGCAGGTACCTAAACATGTTATAATTAAAATAATTCCACAAAAATAGTAAACTCCAACACAAAACATAATATTTCGTAAATATTTAATTTTTCTCAAGTGGAAAAAATATATTAAAAATTAACTTACAAGGAATTTTTTTTTGGTACTAACCGACATGAGCCAAACTTGCTGAACTTGTTAAAATTAGGAAGGAGGAAGCGATGAAACATATCAGAAGGACCTTTGCCAAATTTTTCATAACTGAAAAATTATTTATTATGTTATTATATTATATTATTATAAATTTAAAAAAAATTTTCTTCTAGTATTATTATACAAGATCAAGAATAATTTTTATTAAAAATAACTTATGACATATTTAATCATGCCTCTACAGTATATGAACTTGTTAATTAATTGTCTTGTAATTGTTAACTGATATCCCTTTCTGTAAATTTTCCTAAATCGTAAATTATTTTTCTGTACAAAGAAACTAAAACTAAAATACATTTCCTATTCTCTAATTATGAAGAGAATTTCGTAAAAATTTCCTCCTTGCTAAACACTTTTATTGCAAATAGTGCAATATTCATAAAATTTTCCTTATGCACAAGGAAATAATTTTTACTCTACAGCTTCCTGTAAGGACACCAAGTCGAAGACATTGACTTTTTGTGTATCATCAATAACTGTCAGTCGACTCACATTAAAATTAATTAATTAATCTCAATGTAGATGATTCCTGTTGCAATCAATTACTTGATTTAATCACTTCATCTTAATTGAGTTGTAATGGCAATTTCAGAAATTTATTTTCTTTCATAAACAGGATTTCCTTAAGAAGCCTCATGTATATAACAATATTTACAAATACAGTATTTTTATTTTTATTTTTTTCACGTACAAAAATTAAAAACGTTACAGTCCGAAACGGGTACTCTTCAAAATTATTTGTACTTCAAAGAAATTTTGATTTTTAAGAAATATTTTTTGATACTATCAAAATATTACTTTCGAAGAAATACTTTCAAAAAACTTCTGCTTTTTGATTATTTCAAGAAAAAATAGGTACAAATTTTTAAAAATTAAAAAAAGGGAACTAAATTATATTTTTGGATCTGAATTCCGAATATTTGTCTTCGGTGATACTATCAAAATTTTTGTGATAAATATAAATATATTAACAATAGAGATATAAAATAACTCACTTATCATAGTTTTTGACTTTCGAACGAAAATTTCAAGGAACGAAAATTTTTGACCACTTATTAATCATTTTCTCAATCACATAGAGTTTATGAACGCAAATAAAAAATCCCCCATAGACGATGAATTAAACAACTCTCGTAAGTGGGAAAAATTAAAAATTAACAAAATTGAATCTTCCAAAAATTTCCAACTAATTTTAGATTCAATGGCACATTTTCGTTTCGCGGTTTTTTGAACTGGAAATTGAACTTGATTCCACACTGTCGTTGGACTCAAACGCACTTGAGTCTTCCCGAAGAGACGCAGAACGATATTGGAATATATAAAAGCGAATGTTGAATTAATAGTTTGAATGTAACTGCTTGGGAGGATCATCTGAAGGCTGTTTACCTGCTCATACTTATATCGGTAATGGTCACCTCCCCTTTTTTTTATATGCCGTTTATAACCGGAATTCCATGTACTTCCGTGTTCACCTTATCGGCCATTGTAAAGACATTAAGATAATAAGAATATGAAGAATACCTATTCCCGATTTTGTGCAAATGTCAAAATCTTAAATTTCTCGTTATGCGAATATTGTCTACTTCCCAGTTGATGTCTTAAAATAACGAAAACATATACGAAAATAACCTGAAGTGGTAAAAAAAATTTAAGTCGTAAAAATTTGTTTACTAGACACTTTTTTTCTAGAAATGGAATCATCATGAATTTAGTGATTTTAGGTTTAATAATACTCTGATGTTTATCTTCATGTTTTTTAATGGTTGAAAAAAATTTGATAGGGAAAAAATTCTAGTCGATAATTATGAGGATGTTTAATAAAATCGAATTTCAATTCAGCAATTCTCATTTGATTTAAAGTCTAACGAATTAAAAACTTAACATTAAAAATTAGTATATTTTATTACTTACTGATTTTTTTTGGTGGTTTTAACTTTTTTTCGAACAATTTACACTCTCTTGAGGGTTAAAAAGAGACGAATGGTGAAGGAATGGAGAAAACAGAATGTTTTATATACTATTGAGAGGAAGTATCACAACGTGAACCCAACGGGTGATCCCATCGTCTTCATTAGATTTACTTAGTTTTCTTTATTTCCTACACTCACTATTGTTTCCTGGTTTGTGTTTAAAAGAACAAAGGAAATCGAATATTGGTTCTCACCATGCAGGTTCGAGAAAAAAATGGAACAAACATCAACGTCTAATAAAAAAATGAGAAAATTATTTATAAAATAATCAAATAGTTACAAACGATCAACAGCATATTCAGATTTAAATTAGAGAAATAAACAAAATATGTTATTTTAATTTTTCAAGAATATCGTTTCTATCCAAATAAAAAAAAATCCCCACCTAATCCGATTGATTTAAAAAAAATTATTCGCCATATTCGATCCGCCATTTTGAATTTTAAAAAACTAATATCTGATTCGTAATCAGCGACCGCAAAAACCCCCAAGTAACAATTTTCAAGTGAATTTGATCAAATTTCAAATTTTGTCCGCCATATTGGATCAGCCATTTTGAATTTTGAAAAACTGACATCGGATTCTTAATCAGCGACCCCAAAAACCTCCAAGTAACAAGTTTCAACTGAATCTGAAGAATTTGAAAAAACCGCCATATTGGATCCGCCATTTTGAAATATAGAAAACAGACATCGACCCTAAAAACTCTCCTAAAGGACTCTTGATTATTACTTTCTTTAATTAGAAAAATGTATGATTGAAATTGATCCGATAAAAACTGTTTTAGTAGACGCCCCTAAACATGAAGAAATAAAAAAATTAATTTTGTAATAATATTTTTATTAATTTTATATTATAAAATAAAAATATATTTGTTTCTGTTGATCAGTATTATTTTGTAAGAAACAATAGTTTGACTATTAAAATACAATTTAAAATTAAACAACAGTAGATGACACTAGTAGTGCAACCAAAATCTAAATAAAAACTATTCGTTTAGGAACTTTCATCTTCTTTATCATCACTATCATTAAAATAATATTCGTGTGAACTAATTTCACCCGAATTCTCAAAGAATGGTTTAAAAAAGTCCTTATCACCGTATTTAAATTCATCATCAGTGATTCTTATTAACTTTGCATCCTCATTTGTATGATCATCATCACCTACCTCAGATGATTTCTCACGATCACTATTGTCAACTTTTTCATCCGAGGAATAATGTTCAGAACTTGAAGTTTCTTTGGTTCCTGTTTGCCTGCCATAGTAACTTCCTTCATCTTCTTCTTTGTTTTCATTTAAACTTTCCTGTTCCTTTGTTTCATCATCGTCATTATATGGTAAATTTAATTCCTTAAATAATTCCTTGAAGCTAAATGGAGGTTTATTTTCGTCTGATGATGATGATGATGATGACTCTTTCGGAGTTTGCGAATCTTGAGATTGTTTTAGTGACGTATCTTCAGATTCTTGAGTTTCATGAACCGGAATTTCTTCCGTCTTATCGGTCTCATAAGTATCCTTGGCAGGTCGATAATCTTGAATATCGAACTGTGGGGTCTGAGTACTGACTTTGAGTTTGTCCGTTCCTTTCACTGCTTCTGCTTCTTTGTCAACTAGAGATGTAAAAAATTTATTGCCACTTTACCTTTTTTTTAGAATGACGAACTTTAAATATAAATTGAAATGGAGATTAATATCAAAATCTACATCTTTTTAATCTATTTGAATAGTTCCTGATAAAACTATCTAAATTTGACTACAGGTTAAGATTTCGAATGTTTAAAGCTAAAATTCTACGTATACAAATTCTAATGGAACATTTTTTTCAACTGACTTAAAAATCTGGTAATAAAAACATTAAAAAGAGATTTTTTATTAGAAGGTATCTCACCAGGGGCGGTAGGATCAACGAAATCCGGATTGTCATAGTCCGCGAACTTAGTTCCCGAATGGGGATCATTTTTGTCGAGACTCTCCTCTCGTTGATCGGCATAATCAGGAACGTGAACATACGGTATAATATCAGGATTATAAAATGGAATGTCAGCCGGATAACCAGGAACTGTTCCTCCTTCGGAGCCATTCAGTAAATTCTTTCGATGATCCAGAATATTTATGTACGTCAGATTTGTAGCCTCCTTCAGTAGAGGAGCTTCTGGTTTATTCACTATTTGTCGTTGCTTTTTAATTTTAAACGGTCTTGGTGAGGTTGTTTCCAGTAAAGGAATATCGGGTTGGGTTTTTACTCTCTTCACATGTCTCAGCAAAGGTGGTAAAATATTCAAATCCTCGACTTCAGTGGCGATCGAATCGTTATATGCTGAAAGGGGTAGAGGAAGAAATGAATATGGATGAGGAACTGGAACAGATTTTGTCTCATAAAAATTGATGTTCTCCTTGAGACCATAATTTGAAATGGCATCACTTGAATTTTGTGGTTCATCTGTTGTAGTTCTGGGAAAACCGTAAAAATTTCTCATTAAAGTCGTCGCCAGTGCTTTCCGAGACAGATTTTGAGGATTGGCTACAATCGAAACGGATCTACTCGTTTCTCGTTTAGATCGTAGCTTATTAATTTTCCTGTCTTTCGTTTTATTGCGCATGAGTTCTACGACAGTGGTAATTTTTATTGCTTCAATTCCATCGTGATCAGGTGTTCCTATTTTAAATCCAGTATCAAAATTTATTGAACTTGGAAGCTGGAATTTATTTCTGGAATCCTTTTCCCTAACTAATTCTTTCTTTAGTTGTTTCTCCTCAGAGATGTCGAGATTATTTAGAGAAGCTTTTGAATAAAGTAGCTTTTCTTTTAAATCCTGAAATAAAATAAGAATCATTTTAACTAGATGATTAACTTACGCGGTTTAATTCGTATTTCTTTACATTACAATTATACAATCCGTGAATTCTATAAAAAAAATTACTTACCTCATAAAAAGTTGTCATGACAATAATTCCACCAACAATGCCTGTGCAAATAAATATTTTTCCTGAACTACAAGGTGATAAATTGTAAAAATTACTCGGTGAGAATTTAAGATACTGATTTACTTTAATTATTCAATTTATATACATTTTTAAGAAGTCCAGATATTTTTCTACAATTACAAGAAGACATGAAAAGTCCATCTCAGTTGATTGACATTTAAAATTTATATTCAACGCTCTTTGCTATTAATATTAATTAATTTTTGCTACTTAGAGATCTTTTTACTGAACAATTTTAATATTCCTTCATGTCTTCTTGTTTATATTGAAAATATTTACAATCTACGTTCGGTAATACTTTAGTTAGGCAAATACATTTACTTAGTAATTCATGAAGAGCATACATCAGATGAACATTAATTGCATTTATGATTTCAATAAATTGCAATGTGCATGAACAGTGTCGACTTGATTAACATTTGCTAAGTAACTTAAAATTAAATTTATCAAAGTAAATAACTTAAATTAAATACAATATCTTGTAGAATAATAAAAAAAGCTTATAAAAGTTGCAGAAAGCAAATTAACGCAAATTTTAATTATTAAAATTAAATTTATTGAGAGTACCCCCAAAAGTATCAAAATATAATTCCACTGTCAAGAGTGCCTTCTAATTTTCTTAAAAGATATCTTATTACATTAGAGTATTTTATCAGGTTGAAAAGTTATTAATTTACTAAATTTTTCGTATCAAATGTAAAAAAAAGTACTTAATTAGTTAATACACTCATTCCTAATATAAATTTTATAAGATTAATTTCAGGTGGTGTAAAGCGAAACTGACGATAATTGACACCAATATAAACATGCTCTGTAAATACTAACTTAAAACACTATTAATATTTATAAAAACAATTATTTTTACAATGGCATAAAAATATACATTTTTAGAAAAAGGAGTAGAGTAATAAGTGCACAAAACGCAAAAAATAGTAGAAAAGTACAAAAAAATTAATATTAATAAACGTATTTAATAGTAAATGATAATTTATGTTTGTCTATTACTCTAAGAACCTTTTAAGTTTGATTTTTCTACAGAAAGCTGTTTTATTTTAACCATAACGAAATTGCCACAAACAAAATATTCAGTTACTCATAATCTATATTTACTATGGCAGAATCAATAAAACAATTGTTTATCCTAATTACTAAATTGCTACTTAATATAAATATACATAGTTATCGTAAACATATGGCAAGTCACTGATCATAAAACTTAAAAAAATGTGATAGATACGCGCGAAGATACCTAGGAAGTAAATAACTTCGGTACCTTTCTTCGAAACGTGTTACAATTATATAAACGGAAATTTGAAATTGTCAGTCGTGTTTTTTTGATTATCAAGGTTTTTAAAAAAAACTTTACCAATATCTTCAAGTATTTTCAAAAAAATATTGTGGCAATGCCCGTCAAGTATAAAACTGGCAACATTCTAGCCCATCTGGATTATTAATTCACTAACTATAGTAAACTAAATCTAAATTTTTTTTATACCAAACTGAAAATTCAATTTTTAAAAATATACAAGGCTTGGATTTTGTATACATTTTATAAAAATTAGCTAATTTAAAAAAAAATTATCTGTTTCAAGTTACAAACGATGGCAAATACAATAATAAAAAATGTGACTTGATTCGGAATTGCAAACTGCTGTTTACTTGATATTTCTAACTTGTCTAGTATTATCATAAGATAATAAATGTTAAATGTTATTTTATCAATTTAGCAATTTGTCTCAGATTGCTAAACGAAATAATTACAGACTACTCTACTACATCTGTGGATTGACTTCAATCTTATGTTACCATAAGAAGAAATACCGTCTTGTATTTAAAATTCATTGACTTTCCAGATAGAAAAATAATTTAAAGGCTAGCTAAATATATTTTTCTCCTGGAAAATGATCAGATTAATTTTAATTCGATCACTCACTTATCATAAACAGTGCTCATTATCTACTTTTGTGACAAAAATTTCTACAATTATTTACCCAAAAAGCCATATTGTCCTGGTACATTACTCACGTATTGAGATGCTCTATTTGGAAATTCGGCCCATTTGGAAAAATCGATTCCAGGTAGAATACCAGTTCGGCAAGGAACACGAGGATTTCTTAAAAAAAAATGCAAAAATATTTATTAGAATAAAAATACATGTGTCATCTCTTATTTATTTTAACACTATAATTAAAAATTAAAAACAACTTACATTTCATGGTCGGGTAGTACCATGGGATATATTTGGATGGTGTCAATTAGATCCGTATTGTCGCAGATTAATCGAGCTAGTCTCGTTTTCCGCAGTTCAGTCAATTGTTCTAGTGAAAATAAAAGAAGAAACTTTTAAATTACTGTCCAATACACTTTTCGAATTCTATCCAAATAGTAATTTAAAATATTTGAAAAATGAGAATAAAAAAAATTATTGACCTACCAGGAGTAAAGGACGATGGCTGATTGGGAAGTTCAAACCAAAATCGATCACCACGTCTTGAGTTACTGAATTGTGTTGCAATGACACACGCGAAAGTAGGTCCAAGCATGCTCCCTGGCAGAGGTCTTTCCGATACTCCTCCTGACCAAAGATCAACATCGTCTGGATGCCTGCATTCACAAATTATATACTTTAAATTATGTACATAATCTATTCTACGTAGTCTAATACAGCGGATAGAAATAACCTCTGTAAATTGATTCAACCTTTGAAAAACACAATGTTTGGCTTTCTAATAAAAAATTACAGCTTTCTAATAATAATAAAATAAACTTACTCAAAAATGGAGCTGTATCGTCGAATAGTTTCATTTGGCATTGATCCAAAGAGTTCTTCAAAAGAGCTTGCTCCAGGAAGTCCACAGAATTTCCTGTCGAAAGTAAAATACGACAATGTGTTATAATTGAGAAATGATCATTGGGATATATCTTGGAATGTAATCAATTTACCTGAATTCCATGTAACTGGGTATTCCGAATTCACGACCACGTTGCATATTGAAGGATACCAAGTCCATGCCAAATTTAGCGCCAACTTTCTTAAAAAGATGATTCGTCACCTGCAAGCAAAGGATCCTAAGATTTAGAGTAAATCTTTAGAGTGTCTCCTCCTCATACGACATGAAAAGTATTCACGCCTCAATGTCAAAGGTTATGATTTCATTTCCCAATAAAGCTAGCCAATTTCCCAAAGCTCCTCTCTATGGTTTTCAAGAAACCAAACCCTAATAAGTTCATCCCTTCTTTTACCACTTCTTTAAGAAATTTCCCCTTTTCAACCATGAAAATTAAAGAATTGAGGAAGGGACATCTCTTTAAAAACTCTTTCTATTATCTCATCAACTGGAATTTCTAGATTCACCAGATGAACCTAAATTCCTTTAATCATAAATTGTAGGACCTTTTCCTGAATTGTTTGTCAATTTCGGATTGTTTATTTGAGAAACACTCCAACGTAACACTTCACTTACTTCTTGAGTAATAGAATCGTCCATAGCCTGAGCAACCTGATTCATCAGTCCCATGAAATATTCGTCGATGACACCAGCTCGGTATAGATCATAAGGTCTCCTGATGAGATCGGATAATCTCTTTGAAGCTATGGAGAAAAAGAAGTCATTATTAAAAGACAGACACTATTTGCTGATGAACATAATTGTTAAAGTGAAATTTACCGATAAATTTATGAGCCTTGCTCCATCTTTCAACAGCAGTTGGCAATAGAGAATGACCAAATCTGAAAGCCGCTGAGGCAAACGCGTCAATCACTGATGGATTGACCTTCGAGTCATAACCATCCCAATGCCCCTAATAAAAATACAAGAATTTAAATGTTACCAAGTTGTAATTTAACAATACTCCAACATTTAGAAAATTGACTTCCGAAGTAAAAAAAACCGTACAGAATAACCGCAAACTTTCGGCGAACATTTAGCGGACTCCTGTCTCTCCATAAAGTCCGTAGAAAATCCGCTGGTTTAAAAGATTCAAAAATTATGGAATAATAACTTTTTTTGAAAGTCTGATGACTTTCTGTAGACAAGAGTCCGCTGCAAGTCCGCGAAAAGTTTGCAGGCACTCTGTGGATTTTTTCATTTGGGTTAAAAAGTTTTTTTTTTTTTTGAAAAGTTTTCAATTAATTAAGAAGTCAAATAAATTTGATAATTTCATACGTCTTTTTGAAGTATCAATCCAAATTTCTCCATGACATCTTTGCCTAATAGAATAGGAAGAAATTCGTTATAAGTCACGTGTTGTATTTCTGCAATAACGATGCGTCGAGATTCCTGGAAAAGTGTTTCATCATCCCAGTGAGGATTCACTTGGGTCAAAGCTTTTGCTGCTCTATTGTGTTCCCTGGCCATAAGCGTATGCATACAGGCCAGCACCAATTGTTCGTTCACTCGAATTTCCCCTATAAGAATAAATTTGAACTTTTCTATAATTTGGTAAACAAATAGTTCTTGGTAATTAATTTTCATAATCGAAAACAAAAATCCGAGGGTCCAAAAGAAGAGTTATAGTGGGTCAGGGCTGGCAGTAGGTCGCTAGCTATTGTTAAGCTTTAAATGTCTTTTAAGAACTGCAAAAGATTCTTTCTTAATTTACTTTCCAAAACAGTTCCCGAATTTGGGCCCATAAAAATCAGTTTTATGTGCTACCCAATTCGGAAAAGAGTCCAGGTGAACTCTCTTAATATTACATTAGTTAAAGATTTTATTAAAACATTTGATTTATGTTAACAATTTTTAAGGGTACACGTTACCTCATCGTGCGTTTGATGGCTCAAATAAAAATTTTCATCACGCATAAAGGCGTGTCTCTCAACTGTGTTACTAAATCATCGAAAGTAGTACCATTAAACAAGAGCAAATCTGTCTTGGGACAGAATTACGAAAGTATCACGAGTCGCAACGCAATTTAATCACGAGGAACCAATATCTAATGATCTGGTTGATCGTTGAATCACAGTCTTGTAATATATTATTAACTTGACAATAAATAGTTTCTTTCTGATGTTACGGGATCCACTTTTCCATTCAAACCATTCAGGAATAAAACAGGAAATTGAATATGAAAATATCAAAATAATTAACATGCAAGAACTCACCAGCCTCGAAGCAGAACATCGATTCGTTAGGTCGTGTACAACCCTCATCGGGAATATCCAACTTGAGAGGTAAAAGATCCTTGAGTCCATATTCAGAAAACACTGGATTCATTCTTAAAAGTCCCCCATAGCCAGTTCGTAGTTTTCTAAACAACAGTCCAAATAATTAAACTAAAAATTAATTATAATTAGTTAAATTTATTTAATAAAGTTTCGTTGACTTTTCATTGACTAAATTACATACATAGTAATTTATGCTGAAAAAATTATTATAGACTGTAAATCAATTATAACATTTACAACTAAAGGCAATTCACTTCAACAACTATAATTGTCGATTTGACGCAAACAAAGATTGTGGTCTCAACTGTAAGTGAAGACTGTGGCTATTGATTGAGTAACTCAATTCACATGACTTGCAGAATAGAAAGTGTTTAGCCCTGCTTTATAAATACGGGATTCACAATAGTGATTTATGGCCTCTTAATGTCGTAATAGAACTCGCAATAAACTAGAGTAAAGCGAGTAAAGCGTCTCTTAACTTTATAAGACAAATATTTTTATAAATCTAACATAATTGAAATAGAAACAAGATACTTGGAAAAAATATAATTTTTCAGTAAAAAAATAAAAATGATTCTAATAGGTTGCATGAAAAATTAATAGAGGGATTAGATGTAGAAATATTTATTTTATACCTTGCATGAAAATCGGTGACTCCATAAACTGTGTTTCCGTCCAGAACGCCGGTGAGTAAATTAAAAGGGACTCTGCTACCAAGACGGCAGCCAGGACGTACGGATGGGAATGCACGAACAAAATCCATGCAACGAACATTAAACAATCGATAGAAATAGTCATCCTCAGGAATGTGGATTTCATTACAATAGGGATGCTTTTGATGCGGTGGTCGATTGCAACATTCTTCTGGATCATTACGATTGAAAGGATCTACGAAACAAAGGGATTTTTTAAAATTAATTTTAAAGAGTAAAAATATTTAGAAACGGGAATTATAAAGACAAATATAAAGTGGCATGCACATTTTTGTGAATTCGGAAAAAATTCTCTTCTTGTATAGAAAAGCTAATGTATCTACATTTTATTGCATAACACATCACACGTTGTACTTTCGAAATATATTTTCCTATATATAAAAGATCCCCTTCCTTGTATGAATTCTGTCCTTTCCCCCCTCGCACACATATCGAATTATGTAATGTAAAAAAAAAAATTCCGACTACTTGATCAACCGGTACGCACAGAAGTGAGAGGAGGGTAAGTTACTCACCGAGTGGAGTGGCAGTGAGGGTATAGTCGTGATCCATGAATTGGCCCCAAGCAATAACCATGACGGTACCAGCGTGATCGTGAAAACCATCGTCAGGATGCATGGTACGTGAGACAATACGTGATAGAGGCAGGTTGCGACCAGATGATGCTATTCTAGGTGCTGACATTCCATCAGCAAAACGCGGAGGCAGCAATCTAGATTTTTAAAATAATTTTTAAATATTTTGACTTAAGGCGTAGAGAGAAATTGTAAATTCCCCATTATCATGTGTCACATGATTTTTACGAAAAATGTAGCAGACTAAGAAAGCACATTTTTTTAACAGTTCTGATTTTTGATGTTGATGTAAGACGTTGAGTTTTATTATTAAAGTTGTATTATTGACTATATCGTTTCTTTCATTATTTATAAATTCAAGTAAGGTATGTCTTACCCCGTCTGGATATTAATTTTGAATATCAAGAAACATCTGTCAACAGTGATTCAAGATCTATGGAATAACTGAAAAAATATTACAGTGTACCCTGACAAGAATGAAAAATGTACACCACTTGATTTTGCAAACGTGTTTATAAATATAACGAAATTTATAACAGTTTTTAACTTGATACTATTTGTATGGATGAATTGTAAGTCGTGAACTTAAACCCGCTCACCATGAGAATTTACGAAGGCTAAGGTAGATGGTACCCGAAAGAATTCTTTATAAGTAAATACAATATTTTATCTCTGAACTTTTCTCACCTCGCAAATGGCGATAACGATGCGCCCCATGTAGGGTTCTCCAAGTTTGTGCAGAGTCCATCGAAACGACGATATTTACCAGCTCGACACTCTACATCTTTTAAGAAAGGTGGACACACGTCGTAAATAAGAGTCTTGGATGTATCGATCAGAGGAAGGCGTGTTTCAATTTCTTCTCTTGTAAGACCATACCTATACATATTTCATTTTGGTTTATGTAAAGCGTATTTGAAAATATTGTTTTTTTTATTTTTAATCAGTTCTTCAAGTTCAGTTTTTTTTATTCAAATAGGCAAAAGGGAAGACAATTTTAAATTGGAAAAAAGATGAAATGGAATTTATAACACAATAGAGACGGCAATTTAATTTTTTGCTTTAGATATTTAGCTCGACCGCAGACAAACGGCAAGTCATCAGACAGTTGTGGTCAACACTCTTACTTTTTTTTGACCTTCTGCAAAGTGACGGCACAATTCGAACGATTCGTTTCGCTTTCATTCAAGTTATCTCCTATACCATATTATTTCTCCTTCCGGAAAAATGTGTAAATTTAAGACTTGGATATAATTACTGTAACTTAACACCTGAGAAAGTATCTTTAGTAAAATTTGATATAATTTACATAAAAAAAACTGAACTTGGAAAGTGCCAAGCCTTAGGGAAAGTTTATCAGCTGCAGAAAAATCTTCAAAAGTAAATATTTGCATTTTAAAATAATAAATTGTTAATTAACTAGTTTTCAACAAAATTATCCAGACTACTGATCCTCTTCAGCGAATGCTTATGATTATCATATCATAATACAATATTAGATGAGATTACTTACATTTGGGCGATCTGAGTGGAAATATCCAGAAGAAGTTCTCCGACTGTTGCCAATTCTTCTGGTTTCCAAATATTCGTTTTGGGTTGGGCAACGCCTATGAATTGTTTAATAGCAAATATTATATTTTTTACTCTATTAATAAAATAGATGACTGCTAATTAATAAAATAGAAATAATTGCTTTTTATTAGTTAATGAGTATTATTCCATCACCGAACCAATAATATTTTGTTAAAGGGTCGAGAGCTTCTGCTGACAAGTAGCCAGCAGTAGTTGCCAATAACCGGTCTTAGATGATAGACCATTGTTAGACGTCAATACATTTTCAACAATCATAAGTCATCCGTCATTCAGTTCGGAAGCTCCAAAATAGAACAATCTAATTCCCAACTTTACTTTTTAAAAAATGGTTTGTAATTTACTTAATCGAATAATTTGCTACTTCTTCCAAGAAAGTTCTTGTAAGAACTTCTTTGCAAGAAGTTCAGGAACAATTTTGCAAGAAAAGCAGTTTTCAAGGTCTTCGGGTCAATGCTTGAGGAAGCAAAGAAGACTTTCGCAAGGACAAGAAAGAAATAGGTCCAATAGATCATGAAAGGCATTGTCGCGCAAGCGGGATCCCAAGGACCTTCACTTACAAAGTTTAAAATCTCACGGTGGAGTATCAAATATCAGACATTTCACTTCCATCACCAAAAACGAAATTAAACCATAATTTCTTTTCTACAATTCAGGATAAGAATAAAGTATTAGATTAGTATTAGCAGATTTGTATTACTATTAACAAATTATAATTATTAGTATAATTAAACATAAACCAATATTAATGATTTAAAATAGACTCACGAATTCGTTTTTTGGCTTCGAGATAGGCATGGTTTATTGCCTCGTAAGTAATGCACGAGTGTCCACCAACATTCGGTGGGCTGCAAAAAATAAAAGAATGCAAATAAACTTGTGCGTCGAGATATCAGATTGCCATTACAATTGCCATTCTCTTTCGGTTTCATTATTATTTCCGCCTGACATGTATTCAAAGGGGTCCATGATACTTAAATATACTGACATGAGAAACCAATTCAGGTTAAATTTGTCCTGACACATTTCTATACCTAATACAAATTTTAACCACTGGTCACTGATATGTCACACTGTCATGCATTCAAAATTTATTGTCAACCAAAAAATTGAATACCAACAAGTTTCTCTCAATTCCAACATCTATAAAAAAGTACACATTCATCCACCTTTCTATTTTTAATTATTCCTTTACCATCACAATTTGTGAATGTATCCCAAGAATTTGTTTCTCATATAATTGACTATCTTTTCTCTTGGAAAAACAATTCTATACTTTAAAAGGACTCGTACGATTTCATTGTTGACAAGCATTCCGGAATTTTATTACGAAGTCAAAACATCTTTTCAGAAAGACCTTGTAGGTTCCTAGGCTAATTCACGTCCGCACACAAAATGTAATTTTCTAAATACTTTTTCGTAATTATAAAGTGTTTCTCAGAATTTAAAATTAGTCCCTCAATAGAATTGTCAGAATCATATGTAAAAAACAAGGATTTTTTCAGCATTCATTACATGTTGGTCGATAATAATTCAAACATTTTTAGCGAAATTATTGCTAGCTGTACTAACTTTTGCCACGATTGCTCACAATTGAAAGATAATATAAATTACAATTTTTATCGTTCATAATCACATGTTACAACTAGTAATTATTCAGTTTGTGATTTAAATGGCAGTGAGACAATTCCACATTAGTTACAGTGACACCTAATGGAACAAAATAAGAATAAAAGTAAAGTTCCCTTCCAAATGTGAAGGTGAATTTCTGAGCTAATAAAATATTAATAAATTTAGGATGACGATAAATCAATGAACCTACTGAATGATCGAACCATTTGTTACGTTAATGAGATATAGTGTATTGTATTCTTGGGGAATTCCGTATCACTCAAACTATTACACATAAAAATAATAATGGTTATAAGTATAATGGTTTTAAATTACAATATAATTATAATTCTAAGTTAATTCCTGATATAAGCCGAGAAGGAACATATGTTTTGTGATATAAAGACAATTGTACCGCATGTTCAACAATACGATTGCAAAATCGCGGAAGAAATGACGTATGAAACCGTTACAATTAACCACCTTCTAGGAAGACAATATTATGAAATAGCATCGCAAGATGCTATAAGCTGACACCAATTACGTAACACACTTCTGATGAGTTCAGAACCACGTGTCTTGTACTGTTTCCCACTGTGTCGACAAAAGCATCTCACAATTACATAGAAAATGCGTAATTTAATTCACTCGCCGCTTTTTTTTAACTCTTGAGTCAAAAGACTTATATTATACTTATAAGGAACTAACAAAACTATAAACCATACATACTATGTGTAACTAAATCTCGTAATTTTTTCCAGAAAAGTTGTTTTGATGACTAAATAAGGAGGGATCATAGTGTGGCGTGGTCATACGGATTGCGTGTATTTCTGGTAGCACTTCAATTTTCCTTTCAATTTAGGTTGAAATGTCTCCAGTTGACGATACTGATCTGTTAAACGATTAGAAAGTATTTACCATAATTGACCGGTACCATGTAGAGACAATTCAAGTGTGAATCTTGTTTTTTAAAAGAAAACCAGAAAAAACTAGTTCTTGATAGGTAAATACTCCCTAGGGTTTTTTTAATTACTTTATCTCAATTTAATATGATGGAAATGTTTCACAAAGGAAGTCCTCTTAATCAAGAATTTAAGCTATACAGGAGTCACTTTATAGACTAAATAATTTAAATAGCGTACTCATTGTCTAATAGCATATATCTAATAACATCTAACTATATCTAATAACAGATCTCAATAATGACTAGTAATCATCAATGATTAATAGCATTCATTGCAAACCTCACAAATTGAAACCCTGCTGATACCTGCTAATAGGGTACGGAAAAAATAATAATTGTGGAAAGTAAAACCATTTAATTACAATTCACCCATAAACCATAAAATTGAACTCCAATTAACGACAAATTATAATTCATCACGAACAATATTCTACTAGCAGAAAAATTACCTTTTGTAGTAATTACAATAGATTGAAATTATATCCCAGATCAATTTGATTGAAGGATGAAATATTTCATTAATTTTAATTAATTATTTTATCGTCTTATGATTCAGTCTTTTGTATTATGTAGTTGAAGGTATATAACTAGGTGAAACGTGAGACTACTATTAAGAAGATACCTTTCATTTAACCCTCAAATCCTTCAAGTCTTTTCAGTCACGCTTGCGGTAATAATTGTTAGACATTTCACTTGTTTACCTTCGCACCATGTCAAAGCTATTAATTTTATAGACAATGTCGTTTTCAAGTGAGTATTAACCTGATTGTTTTTCATTTGTCAGCAAATAATACACGTTGTCTTGTAATTAATTAACTTTATAAATCAATTGGGGCGTTCCTTGGACAGGGTAGACTTTAAATCTTGGATTTTTATTACACATCATCAAATATGTATGATTCGAAAATAATCCCTGCAAGTTTTGAATAAATGCAGCCATTCTGAATGAGGAATGGAAGATCGTAAACGAATTCTCAAAGTTATTTAGAAAAATAAATTTGTAATTTACACAATCGATTAATTAGATATTAAATATTATTTGTAGTCCATAGGGCGTTGTATGTCTGATCCAAAGACGCCTTACTCCAGAAAATCTTCATGAAATCCTTAGAACATTTTCAGAACATTCTAGAGACAAATGTAAATTCAGTTCAGGGTACTCCTTTGGACGTATTTTTAAACATTCCCAGAACCTTTAGAATTATTAATCCCTATGGCCTTTATCCATAACATTAATTATTAATGTACTTACTATGTTCCTCGAAGCAAATTGAAAGTATAATCAAATGTGCTTGTTCTTCCAGGACCATTGAGGACTAGGGCACATTCTCCACTACCACTGTAATATTCCAGAGGTTGATACTGCAATCCATTAATACCATGATTATAGCTCCCTATAAATAGTGCACAAACAGCAACGGACAGCGTGGTCCGAGCAATTGTGGTCCTGTAATGATAAGAAAATAATTTTGCCGATTAACCTTTTTGCCTTCGATTCGCCACGGTGCGATGGTGGTGACGGTGTTTGAAACGTAATTCAGATGGTAATCTTAGATCATTATATAATCAAGAAAGTCAAGAGTAAGAGACGCGGAAGGAGACGTGGAAAATAATCGAAAATATGTATTCTGACTACATTACACTATTACTTTCTATAAAATCCTTTTTTATCCTAATACTTCAAACTCTCACCACATGATGCAATAATTGTTAATAAATCATTGAGTGTCAAAAAAGCAAATTCTAATTGTTTAATCCCTAGTCCTATTTTTGTAATTAGACATACACTTCTTAAAATTTTTTGTTCGTGAAAATAATCTAGGAAATGGAATTTAATACTAATTCGTAGACTTAGTTCGCATTTTAAAAAGTTATTTATTTTTTTTCTTCAATAAACTATCTATCAAGACAAATGTCTGCAATGTAGATACTTTTTACTTTAGACGTGAATCAAAATGAGATTTTATAATTACTCATGCAAACTTGATATTATGTTGAAAGTGATGCAATTGTAATAAACTGATTTTTGCGCATGTAATTCTTATGTTCTCGAGGTACCCTGAGAATGTAGAATTCTTATTCTCGCAAGGCGCGATGCCCTATCAATTTTCAATGGTGTTCTATAATTACCGGAATAGAGTACAAAAATATAGTATAATAATCGGTCACGGCAAACAAGCCACGTTGGTCAAACTATAAATTGTCAAGGACAATCGTGTTCCTACAGTACATTAGAATAAATAGGAAATTCATTCACTTTCGTTCTACTTCCGAGTGGAAGTGGTCTTGTTCCTGGAGGTCACCATTTTTATACAGTCGAACAAATGAATGACTTCATACCCTATCAGTAATCTTTAGAGGGTACACCTTGTTCCTTCCCTCCTTTTCTTTATTTCAATTGTTTACCTGTTCTCGAATTTTTAGATTTTCAAGAGTGCCGGGGATGGCATGAAGAGGAAATATTATTTTAACTCTGAACTTGAAACATCAAACATCGAGAATCTCTTCTTGACCAAAAAGTAAAACTTTAAATGGGTTTGTCTCTAAATGTTCTAATTATTAGATGCTCGACTATTGTTAGACGTTAATATGTTTGTGATCAGTCGCAGCAACCATTCTTTATTCAGGATGGAGGATCATAAAGAAATTCTCAAGTTTAATAAGAATATAAAAATGGTTTTGTAATTTACACAATCGAATAATTAGATCTTTATACTTGTAGTCTTAATTCGTCTAAAAAGTATTGCAAACAAAAAAGAAATGGTAGACTTCTGGCCGCATTAAATCTTTTCTAAAAAAAATATTGCAGACAAGAAGGAAATAGTAGAATCCTGGTTACAATCCGATTTTAGAACTGTAAAACCCGGGAACAGTTTCTAATAATTGATCTCATAATTAGATGTTAGACCATTGTTAGACGTCAATGTATTTGCGGCAATCAGCGATTCTTTATTCAGGATATGCAAGATCTAATGCAACTCCAGGTTGCATTAGATATTTAAAAACCAATAGCCATCAGAAGCTCCTAATAAACGTTCTTATTATTAGAATTCATTTAATATTTCATAAAATTAAAATCCATAACTAGAGCAATCGGTAATATTAATCTTGATGACTATCTGAGGATATTTTGAAATATTTTCTTTATTTAAAGAAAACCACTTCATTCTAATAATACATGGAACATAGAAACCCCTTTTTCGCTAAAGCCACTGACAGGTACCTGTGAAGTTTCATAAAATAAATTATTATAATTAATTGAGTATAAAAAGTCAGTTGCACTAAAGTAATTTACAGCATATTATATAAATGTGGACTATTTAAGGAACTATTTCTCAGCTTGATTTTTTTTCCGCAAGTGATAAATTCATATGTTGTTAATGGAATGCAAACAAAATTGACAGTTAAGATGATTTTATATTCTAGATTATATTTAGAAAGTACCAAGGCCATTTATTAATTATGTATTTCCCAGGAATACGATAGTTGAACACTTTTTGTGTTCTTCGATTTTGATCGATATTTGTATCTAAAAGGATTCTAGTTAAGTGACAAATTTCAGCAACTCCTGATAATCAAATTCAGTTTGCTATATTGTATTTTCAACTACCAGGTGAATTTACTAATGGGTAAAAATTTCTCTAAGTTATCAATTTAATTAAAAAAGAATGCGGAGCTAATTTATATAGAGTGGAATAAAAATACATCAGTCATCCTGTTCCATTAAAATTTTTAACTTTCATTTATAGGGTATCCTAAAAATTCCGTTTTTTTATTACCAAAAGCACTTCTTCCCCTCGATTCATATTCGTCCTGTTCCCCACCTATAAATTAATTCCCTATTTGTTTTCTAAAAACTTTTCCTAAAAAAATAGTATAAATTGTCACATAATTCCTGTAGCTTGGCGTAATTTGACATTTGTTGCGTCATGGTAGAGCATGTGTTCTCTAATTATCGAATAGCGCGCTCTAATCTACCCGGCAGAAAAAAAATCCTTATAAATGTCTCCTGGCGTCAGAAGAAATGATTGTAAGTGAAACTTTATTCGGCCCGAGGCGGCACTGTCACATGTTGTAAGTGTAACGCATTGAATGACCTAAGTGCCTCTAAAGCCTATACATCAATGAATCGAATGGATCTCGCAAACTTATTGCAGAAATCACTTCATAAATATAACGATTGTGACAGATTCACACCGTATGCTTTATTCATCCCTATATTGCAACGTAATGTGTAAAATACTATAATCTCGAATTCTTTTCTTTCTAAATTTTCCTCTGTGCAATGTGAAAAAAAAATCCTCGAGGTATAATATCGAAATGTCGCAAACAATTTGATAACTATTCTTCCAATATTGTTTGCATCATTTTCTAACTCATATAATTTCGGTGGAAAGTTATAATATTTCCTTTCATTTATTGTATAACTGAATGGACACTGTCTATCAAATAAATTATTCCCAGTAATTTGACTTCAATGGTAAAAATTTTCAAAAACGGTTTTCTTTCATTTAGTAATTTTTTTTCCAATCGAATTTCTTTTATTTATTTACAAATCGTCAAAAGATTCTGGGGGTTTGAATAAATTTTTCTTAATTCATTTCTCTATTCGACGTCTTTGCAAAGTTTCATATTCATTAATCTTCGAACTCGTTGACTAAAATCGAAAATTCAAAATGGCGGATCCAAGATGGCGGACGAAAAATTACAAGTCTTTCAAATTAGGATAAGATTTATTACTCGGGGGTTTTCAGGGTCGCTGATTACGAATCTGGGGTCAGATTTCAAAAATATTAATAATTATCCCGACGCTAAGGCATTTTTTTAGCAAATCTGATGAGAAAAAATAAAACCGATACAATATTGAAAAAAACAAATCTGATTTATGGTTTAAAAAAATTATGAAAAAACAAACTATCAAATAACTGGAATTAAATTACAGGGAACATTTTTACATTCAGAAAATACATTTATATTATTTATATCTGATCATGTGCATCGAGACGTATAGACGTTTTTCCTTTGGCGATTTTTTTTTCTGCTACGAAACAAAAGTAATTATTTTAAACTTCTTGGTAGCATTTAACTGAAATGTGTCTAGTCGAGTTGAATTTTATGAATGGAGAATAAAGTGATGCGTAACAAACTACAAGATGCGGACAGATAGAGTGCTCGATATAAAGCACGGAAAGTACTTTCTCGCAGGTTGCCTTGATTCTCCTTTCACTTTTCACAGGATCCTTAACAATTTTACTGACGATATACAACAAACTAATGTCCACTTTTGTCATCTTACGTAATACATATGCCGTTTTAGGGGAAACTTTTTCCAAAACAAAGATTTCAGCTCCGTTTCTAAAAAATTTTTCTCTTTTTTTAAAAATATTTTGTTTTAAGTACTGTTCCCACATTTAGGAATTTTAACAAAATTTTTTGAAATCAGTCATTTTATTTATTTAGTTCAATAAAATTTCTTAATTATCTCCAGATTTTCTAAATAAACGTCACTTTCAAAGAAATTTGTTTAACTTTCCAGTACGTAATTACATAATATGTGAAAAATTACAGCAGCCATAAAGTTTAAACAGCAAATAAAATTAACCGGTTAAAGAACAGGGATTAGAAACAATATTGCCTCGTATATAATTTTTGACAAGGAGGCTAATTGTTTATTTTACAAATTTTAAATATTCAATAAAAGACGTAAAAGAAATTAATTTTTTTTTATAGATAACATATCAAAAAGGAAAGCAAATAAATATTATTTTTACACTCTACTTTATATTTTGCACTTTACATTCAGTTTATACATAAATGTATTTATATTACTGAAAAGTGGAAATTTAATGGACATTAATCTTCAATTTATTCCTGGTGCCTGCATCGACGAACCAGAGAAGTGTCAAGTTCAATCGAAATGACATAATTGTAAATACGTAAAAAAAAGCGGACAAATTAATTAATGAATAATGTAATCGAAAAATTTGCATTTAATTAAGAAATGCTTTCACAATTTTGGACTTTATATAATTATTGATAATATTTAAATAATTTTGAAAAAATAATAATTAAAAAATCAATGTAGGTGTAAGTGGAAAAAATAGCTCTTAGATTTGCATTAATTTTCTAATTGAGAAAAATTACAATTTGCAGATTAAGTGTTACCCAATTTTAAATAGGATTCGCTGCACTTCTAATGAAACTTGATCTAAATTCCTTCTAGTTTTACGCAATAGCCCTTGGAAAGCATAAACGAATCAACTATCGCGCACTCCTGTCCCCGTAATATAACGCTTTGGAAAACAGAAACCGTAAATTAATTTACGTTTCCGTATTTAGTGTCAATTTTATTAATTCTAAATTAATAATAAATTTATTTTATTTTACTATATTTATTTTAATATTCTGTCTTTAACTCTCGTCTTATCACTAGTCTTAATTATAAATAAAACTTTGAGGTTAACGATCTACGCCTAATTGGTAGTTAACAAATTATAAAATTTATTTTTTACTTCAATATGTGTCCTAACCATACAAATATTATTTATAATAAAAATTCTAACCTTTTTTTATTCTAAACTTATTTTTTCTAACTTTAAATATTATTTATAATAAATATTACCAAGTTCTCTTATCCATAATTAAAATAATTACTAAAAACGTCTCAAAAGGACAATTATTTGTCATGTAATTAATTTTGGTAAAAATTGAAGATTGAAAAAATAAGGGTAAAAAAAATGTTACTTACCGTTTTAACATTTTCTCCTCGAGTGTCTTATAAATAAAATAAATAAACACAGGAAAAAAGGGGAAAATAAAAATTAACACACCACTCGCGCACAATTTTTCAAGTTTAGCATAATCAGGTATAGAAAATAATTATTTGTCTTTGAGCAGTACCAGTAGTTATGGTTCGACTGTTCAACTCTTAAAAGTCGACCCCCGTATCTTAGCGCCTGCACTTCAACATAGTTCTTTATCGAAAGAGAGTCTTGGGGTGGGACGCAAAAGAGAGCCCCAAAAGTAACCGTAAAAGTAAAAGTCAGTAAGTCTTAGCGAAGAGGGAGGATAAAGAGAAGGGGTAAACGACATATACATAGACCCAATTTGCTCTGCTTTAGGTATACATATATGTATACCTAATTTATTCAATTCTCAAATCTCTCACATCAATCTCCATTGCTGACTACTTTCTTGGCAATTAATTATTATCGATAATTTATTTTGTCATTTATGTGACTTTCAATTTATATTATGATGAATTTTGTTGTGGATGAGATTATCTCTTCTTTTTAAATGACTTTTGATGTTGCCATCTATCAGTAAAAGAAACTATGATTGTACTGATCCTAACCCCTTAAATCTACATTCAAGGGGTTAGGATCTGTTGGATTTTTTGGTCCTAAACTAATTTTTAAGATTTTTTAGAAAAAATGATTTGTAATTTACCCAATCGAAAAATTAGATGTTTATTTTTAGACTTGTATTTCTAAAAAGTATTGTACACAAAAAATAAAATTGTAGACTGTTGGTTAAATTAATTATTAAATAACTAATAGCAGGCAAGAGCTTCTTATAACCGTTCTAATTATTAGATGCTGGACTATTGTTAGGCCCTCGGTTAGTTCGTCAATATATTTGTGGCAATCAGCTATATTCTTCATCAGGATGGAAGATCCTAAACTTGGGAATTAATTTTAAAAAAGAATTTGTAATTTACACAATCGAATAATTAGATGTTAATTATTATTTTTAGTCCTAATTCGTGTACAAAGTATTGCAAGCAAAAAAAAGTAAACTCCTGGTTAGAATTATTTTTTAAAATCGTATACGTAATAGGCGACAACACCTTTTAATGACCAGTCTGATAATTATATGTCTGACTATTGTTAGGCGTCAATATATTTGTAACATTCGAACATCGGCAAACGACCTTATGGCTCCGGAAACTCTTCAAAAAAAAGTAGATTCGAACTACTATTTCGATTTCTAAATGTTAAATTAAACTACCTTTAAAAAAAGAACATTCCTTCTAATTGTTGTTATCAATCCAATCAGGAAATAAAAATTTGAAAAATAGACCCCAACTAGTAATTTTTGTATGAAATTGTATATACTCTTTAAAATAGAGACCCCAGCAGTAATTTCACTCTCTTACGATTATACACTACAGCGAGCAGAAAAATGTTTCTTTTACCATTGCAAACAAGTCTATATTTGTCGGCAAAGAAGCAGATTGACATGACTAGACGCTACACTGGGCGGAACGGATTCAAAACAAATTGATCGGCAATCATCGAAAGAAACTCGACTTACCTAAAATGTATTTGCTATATACCAACTATTTCCACTTGTTTAATCAAGTAAAAATACGGAAAATATTTTATATAATCGTTTAAAGAAAAAACCAATTAAGTGTCGCAATAGGTGTTTAAAGCTTTATTAAAAAGTATCAATATCATTAGGGACAACGTGCAACAGTTTAGATACATTTTAATATATTCTTAAAAAAAAATTTGTCCTTTCGCTTTACGTTTTATAATATAAAATTTCTGATTATATATCCGGATTTACAATCGGCAAAAAAAAATATTAAATGAACAGTTTCTTTCAATGGGGAAAAAAATGAAAAATCAAACAGTGTAGGCGGAAGTGGTTTTATATTGTAGTTCTAAGCACGTAACTAAAATGCAAGAAATTGAAATTTTCATTAAAAGTCTAGACTTATTTTTATCGACTTGACAGTTACGCTTTCTATTATTCCCTAGGCCTTACAATTAGGAGATCTCACAATTAGTTGTAATATATAAAAATCTATATAAATATAAATATTTTTTCTCACTTACCTTCTTCTTTTTCTTCAATTATGCGGCTTTGATGACTTGTCAGGACAATTCTTTCTCACTTACCTCAAAAATATTATTCACCTGAAACAAAAAAACATAAATAGGTCACGTAACGAAACATAAACGTATTATTGTTTTTTCAACTTAGCCTCATTTTTTTTCCAAATACTTTCCTGCTAAGTATACTAATTGATATAAAAAAAATAATTGAACGCTTAAATTTTAAAACAAAATCGTCAAACAAAAAAAGTGTGGCCCATGTTGTGCAATAAGTACCATAATTATTGTAACTTTTTAAAAGCATTTTTGGATTTTTTTCTACATTATATCACACTTTTTATGGGGACATTTAAACCTTTTTCATTTCAGATAAAATAACATATAAGTTTATTATATCTCGAGTAAGAAAAACTTAATTGCTGTATAATTGTGACATCTAATTGATTGTTATTTCGAAAAAAGTATTTTTTTTTTACTTTGTTTTAAAAAATTCAATTTTCAACAATTTAGTTTAATAATTAGGTTATTGAAATATTAACATAAGGCCCGATAAAATTTCAAAAAATTTATTCTAACAATTTAATGACCGAATTTTTAAAAGTAATACGATTTTCATTAAAATCTAATCCTAAGGGTTGTTAGGGCACTTGATTATGAACCGATGTCAGTTTTTAAAAATTCAAAATGGCGGATCCAATATGGCGGACGAAAAAATTTTAAAGTTTAAGCTAAGGTCATGAAAATGGCTACTCGGGGATTTTTGGGGTCGCTGATTACGAATTCAGTGTCCGTTTTACAAAATTCAAAATGGCGGACGCAAAATTTAGAAGGTTATACTAAGCCGATAAAAGTGGATATTCGGGGGTTTTTAGGGTCGCTGATTACGAATTTAATAACAATTTTACAAAATTCAAAATGGCGGACGAAAATTTTAAAGTTTGATTTAAGATCATAAAAATATCAACTCGGGGGTTTTTAGGGTCAAGGATTACGAATCCAAAGTCAATTTTACAAAATTCAAAATGGAGGATTAAGTTTTGAGAAGTATTTAGATCCACTTGAAACGTGACACTCGGGATTGTTTGAGATCACTTTTTAGCTCAAATTTTCTACATTTCCCGTCCGCCATATTGGATCCGCCATTTTAACTTCTTGAAATCTTAGTTCGAAGATGACGTATGAAGGAAAATATATGTACGTTTGTTTTTTCAAAAAATTTTAAAAAATTAGAATTTATTACAAAATTTTTTTTTTAATTTTTATGAAAAAACACTTAATGTTACTTTCTAAAAATTAAAATTTTGACTTTCTAATAAATTGTCCAGGCTAATTCAGTTTTTTTTTGTCTCTAACCAATTTATAATTTTTGCCATCCAATGTTTTATTATTATTATTATTGTTATTAAAAACACATGAAGGAGTTTCATAATGTCATGAGTTTTTCTCATATGATGGATCGCTAACATAATGCTATTGATTGTTCGTCAGGTAGATTTGGATCATGATCATTATCTAGGAAAGTGTAACTTATCACGTCTTGTTCCCGGGTTACAGAGATCAAAGTGAAGATACTTTCACCTCGACCACGTACAAATTGTAATATCTCCAGTCGCATAAAGTATACAAAGAAATTATTTTGAATTAGTTAACAATAGTGAACCCCATAACCCCTGACAATTTTGTAACATTAATTCTACAAAACATACATTTATAATGATCAATGTGTTACAAAAATTGAAAACACCTTGAATGTCTTTTGCTTCACAAAAGTTTCTTGAAAAACGGTTCAAGTCCTTGATCTTTTCAACGTCTCGAGATTGTAGACTAATTTCGATTCGGTAATATTTTTTTTACCTTTACCGCACGTCAGTTATGATTTATTCTTTAAGGTTCCGATAAATATATATGACAAAAATATCTATTTGGATAATGAGAATCGTAAGCGCATGTGAAAAACAGTATTTTTTTATGTATATAACAAAACTTATGACTCTCGTAAATAATGAACTTTTCGTATTATTAAATTCGTAAAAATTGAGATTTTCGAATATTTAATATTTTACCAAGTCTGTGTTTTTCTCTTTAAAAAATATATATTGAAAAAATTTTATTTATTGATTTAAGTAAAATGTTCTCTTATTTGACTTGGACTGGTTATATTTTTGTCTGTAATTGGTCCGTAATTTATAATTTTTGGTCCGTAATGTCCGTATTTGTAAATACTTTCACTGTTCCAAGCCCTGCATTTTTGTTGACTTAATTAATTGACTTTATTTTACCAAGGATTGTGATGAAAAAAAGGGATTGAACAAAAACATTCCTTTAGGATTACTAATGTTATCTGTTGTAAACTTTTGATATAAAGATCGTTATTGATTCGTCAATTTAGATGCTAAACTATTCATATAAAATTGATCACTACTAGGATGCTTATCGTGATAAAATAAAATCCTTTCTCTTATTTTCTGTAACATTGTATCCTTGTTCTATATTCCGGATGCGATATATATGTCCAATCTGATTCCCGTTCGTTTTGTAAAAAATTATTTAAAAAATTATTACGATCAAAATTCTATCATGATTGGAAATTTTTTGATTAATTTAAAAAGAATAAACGTTTCGCACTTTTTCCCACGTCTTGGATATTCATTTGACTTTTTTAATTCGCTGAAACGCACCCAATAAAAAATTTCCAAGAAACATCAAATATCAAGAATATTAAATATACTCGATCTTTGAACAATTTCGAAAAATTGTTTTACTGAATTATCGAATCATGCTTTCGATTATCATTATTTTTATGCAAATATAAACATATTTTTCGAAGTATATACATATAGTGAATGGATATAGAGAAATATCTCGTGAAAAAGGCGCGAGGATAGAAAGAAAAGAATTTTTATTACTGTCATTATTCTATGTTTAAGTGCAACTTAAAATCTCAATTATCCAATAGAGTTTGTTTTTATGACCACACTTAAATACATATTTAATTTTGTATGTAGCGTTAAAGGAGGTGATCGTACTTTGAAAAAAATATGAATGAGGATAAAAAAAAGCAGAGGTTGTGGATATCTAACGAGAAAAATGCAAATTAATTCACAAATTGTAATTGTTGAGTAAAGTGTGAAAGAAAAGATTGT